TAGCCTTTCTTTATAGTACCTAACACATTTGTCGAACTATATAGCTTCATAAGATACTAGTTTTCGGCATTTATTTCCACAACTATGTATGAATTTGCACAATCCTGCATTATTTAACAATTCTGCATTATGGGATATATACGACGATTATATTATTGGTGCATATCGAATCAAAGTCAACTTCTGCTTCTTTCTCTCCCAAAATATAACTTTCAGTGAGAGTATAGTTCATCAAGTATAACACCGTTTTTAGCTCGACTTTTCTATGAAAAGGGGAGCTATCCTACTCGCCCCGGCGTCGGCGTTGGCGTCACACCTTGGTTAAGTTTTTCGTACCACCCCACTTTATTTCAGAAGTATTACAAGTATGGCTTTGAAACTTACCATACTTGTTCACCATCATAACCTCCATCTACAGACAAGAGTACATAACTCTGTCAAGGTTTTTGACAGAATTATGGCCCTTTTTTGACTTAGAAAGTGTATTGAGCTTGTTTAAGTTTTTTGTACCACCTCACTTTATTTCAAAACCATTGGAGGTATTGCTTTGAAACTGACCATACTTGTTTACCATCACGACCTTCATCAACAGACAAGAGGACATAACTCTGTCAAGGTTTTTGACAGAATTATGCCCCTTTTTGACTTAGAAAATACATTGAATATGGGTAAAATCCACTTATTGCCTTAACCCTTTGAGATATTGCTTTGAAACTTTGAATGCTATTTCACATCATTACCCCCATCTGTACGCAAGAGAAGGTAACTCTGTCAAGGATTTGTTTTAAAAATTAAGGCCTTTTATCGACTTAGAATCTTGGTTAAGTTTTTAGTACCAGTCCACTTTTTGACTGAACTGTTTGAGATATTAATTTGAAAGTTGGAATACTTGTTTACAATCATGATTCCCAAACATGTCCAGGAGAAGGTAATTCTGTCAAAGATTTTATTTGAATTATGGCCCTTAACTGTCAATGTTTTGTATTATAGGCAAGCACTAAAAAACTTAAAAAATCTAAAAAAATTCATTCCTATCCACTTGTTCACTTTACCATAAATTATGTCATATAAACATTGCTGTAATATTCAAGGGTATCAAACAACTAGTTCACTTTAAAAATACAGAGATTCTTGTATTGCCTTTTACTGCAAAAACATTTTTTATTGGCAAGCAATAAAAAAGTCGAGCGCGCTGTCTTACGGACAGCTCTTGTTATCATTTTTTTTCAGTTATTTTTACATTACAATTTTAATTTTGTATACCAGGACTCGCTTGTTCTTCGCAAGAATACAACTTGCGCTTCCATTCTAGACCGCGTGCTTGCATGCGGTCTTATCAAACATATGAATAACGGATGATGCTTATTAAGAATACATCGAAAGAAAATTCTTCCAAACATGGATGAAATTCTAAGAACATTTAAAATCAGCTAACATAAAAAAACAACTACAAAACCCAACTCACATGACGGTGTAACTACATACATAACTAATATTTATTCATAAAACCTCGTCTTTTACTTTCCTTTGAAAAAAATCGTATATTTTAATTATATAAGAAATAGCCTGATCATCTATTTAGGTATATGTACCATGAAATTTATTATATATAAAATTAAAGTGTTCCGTTTTTATGATAAGAAAACATTTTTATCTTCCTCAATATTTGTTTATATTATTAATATGTTATTTATTCACATATCAAAGTAATGATCTTACCTTTCCCTACTCGACAAGTTCTGTTTTCATTTTCTGTGACTCATCTCAACAAGTACATTACCTGACCTTATTACATAATGAAACCCCACGAAAATCACGAACACTTGATTTGTGAACAAATGAATTACAAGAGCGCAGCGAATGGTATCTTTGCTTGGCTTTGGAATGCTTTCTTAAACATGATAAAGTACATACCGGTAAATAATATGTTTCTTGTGAGTAATATTAATAAATACTTAGTTAAAAACTGATTTATGGATAGAAAGACAAAAGAGTATGTAGGTAAGATAGTTACCGCACTCGGAATATTATAGGTCTGCATAGTATTTACAGACCCAGTGGCCTTTTAAAAACCTTGATCGCTATGCTCTCTCGGTCTTCAAATCGCCACCCGGGTTTGTAAAAACTATGCAGACCTATTCCTCATACGGTAACTATTACCTACTATATAATATTAATCAAGTAATCAAGTGATCCCTGAGTTGTTTGGTTTACTGGCTCTTAGTCATTACTGGATTTAGAGAAATATTAGTCTAGAGTTTAGACAGGTTGTTGTTTTCACAAAATATACATATACATCCATATGCAACAGTGCTAAATATTTGAAAGAATTTTCAGTTCATTTTCTTTTTATGAAAACATCACTCAGTATTGGTAGGTAAACAAAAGGTAAAACAAAAGATGAAATGATCTGGCAAATGTGGCAAGGGGCTCTTTAATGTGCTGTTTTTCTGACTTTCTTCACCTTGATAATTAATGTTAAATGTATATGCTGTGATATGGTAATAATAACTTACCTGAAGAGTGTCTTCATATTGTGTATCTAATCTGTGTTTACAATTTCAATGAGTATTTTAAACAATACACACATTCAATCTGACTAAAGTTCTGATCTACCTATTTCTGTTATGTAGGTCTGATTATGACCGTATATGTTTCGCCTTCTTTATAATTTGGATTTCCAGAGAAAGCTATTTTAGTCATGCAATCAAACAGGTTTTTACATATGTCATAGGCATCAAAATACTGTTATCCGTGGAAGTTAAACAAGTTGTTGATTTTTGTTAGTAAAAAATTGTTTGAAGTAATTTTTAACAAATTATCTTGAAATAAAAGAGTCAATATTAATTGGCAAGATTGTTTTGCCAGTTTACCTGTTGGCTATATATGAACAACAGCAAGTTTGTTCTCAAATCCTGACAATATCCTATAATCCTACTCAGTATTTGTTTTCCCAGGGTTAAAATTTGGAAACCGCATCGCTTTCAAAATTATGAAAGCTCACCGATGATTGGCTATGTGAAAGATCACAAGAAATAACTTTGTAATTGGTCACTGGTAGATCTAAAAGCGAGTGTTATTTAGACCTTATTTTAATCAGATTGTACACACATTGTAGAAAAAAATAAAAAATGAAAAAAATATATACTGTAACTATATCATCTCACAAGAAATTTTCATTGTGTTAAGATTTATTTTTAAACAAAGTGTTCAGGAAATACCTTCATTTAATTTTTGATAAACACTTTACATTTGTATTTAAGCATACCTCATAGTTTAATGTCGCTATTTCTCATGTTTTTGAGCCATTTAACAACTTGATTGCAATTTGTGACGATTTTCAAAGAAAAGATAATTTTTGGCTTAATGAATATCAGATTCAAAACTGTGTAAAAATAAAGAATCGAAATGTTAGCAACTCTATGTGATAAAATACATATAAAGCCATTTCTGAAAATGGTACTTAAAATTTCGATAATTTTTGAAAGTGCCTCTTTATAATTCTGAATTTTTTTTTTTTGAAGCAGCAGTTCATGTTGTATAATGCTCGGAGTATCTAGTTATTCCAGAAATAATAATCTATGGGTGTAACATCTGTTGATTGTAGAAGGAAAATCACCAAAAAACCAACGTAATGGGTTTGCGACCAACATGGATCCAGCCTGCACGGCCGTGCAGTCTGATTAGGATCCATGCTGTTCGCATACAAACCCTATTACAAGTAGAGAAACTGATAGGGAACAGCATGGATCCTGATCAGATTGTGCGGCTGCGCAGACTGGTCTGGATCCATGCTGGTCGCAAACGCATTACGTTGGTTTTGTCGTGACGCGGCTCATATATTATATTCTTGATATCATATGCTGTAAATTAATCAGTATTAAACATTGTAGTCTATCACAACTCTAAGTTTGTACTATCATCATTGTGTGACTGTCACATTTCAATTAACCTTTAACCTGCTGGAACCAAGAGTGATAAAACATTTTCCAAGCCAGGTACATGTACTATACCACTTAAATTTTCATCTTGATTAATGAATAGATGGAAGCTGGACAAGTCCATTTAAGATTTTTTTATTCTGCAGGTTTAGGGTTTAATATCTCACTATAATCAGACTATTGTAATATATTTCACTGTTTATAATAAAAGGGATGGATCTGAGTGACATTAATACTGTATGTCTCTGCTATTACATGTATTTATGAACGGTCACTGACATTCTGTTGGTTTATTGAGAATTTTAATTTACAGTTAAGAAGATGATTTGTCTGTAGGTGAGATTTGTAAGGGAAAAAACTAATTTATTAACCTCCAACTAAGCTAAGGAAGGTTGCTAGATCTACCCAGGGGTGACAAAACTAAACAAAATCAATAAAAATTGTGACTTTTGTGTGAAGATTGGGAACATTAGTTTTGAATATAAGAATAACATTGGTTGAACTTGAGTATATATGAGCGGTGTCACGACAAAACCAACATAGTGGGTTTGCGACTAGCATGGATCCAGACCAGCCTGTGCATCTGCGCAGTCTGATCAGGATCCATGCTGTTCGCTAACCAACTCTATTACAAGTAGAGGAACTGATAGCGAACAGCATGGATCCTGATCAGACTGCGCGGATGCGCAGGCTGGTCTGGATCCATGCTGGTCTCAAAGGCACTATGTTGGTTTTGTCGTGACACGGCTCATATATTCTTTTTATTATTTGCTTGAAGTGTGAGCTTATGCTTAGTACCATTTTAGTCGTAAAACTCCTGGTGTGACCTAAATTTTAAGTTTTTAGTTTGGAATTTTGTATTTTTCAGAACAATGTCAATGGTTTGTTTAACATTCAGATCCAGGCATGATAATCTTTATCTTATATACATTACCGATGGATTAAAGCATACAGCAGCAACAAGACCATTCAGTTTAGTTGTTATATTGCCAATTTGATTTTATTATGATACAGTAATATACAAATATATATTGTATATTATGTACTTTATATTTTCAGGAGCAAAGGTGGCACAGTATGCTAGCAATAATCTTTACAAGAAAATTATTATGCAACCAGGTTATGGTAAGTTATGGATGTGACAAATTTTGAAAAATTGTATCCGCTAGAAAGGAAAAGAAAAAAAAGAGAAAAAAGAATCATTACTATATGGTTTGAAATTAATATGGCAGGAAATGACGGCCTTCCTTACAAAGAAAAAATGCAGTATGTTGTTTTTCACATGTCATTTGGTCAGTGCATGTATGTGGATAGGCTTAAGACCTCTAATTTTCATGTAAAAATTATAAGTAAAGAATGATTTCACAAACTGCAGGCTGATGGCTGTTGTTGGTAAGGAAACCATGTGTGGCTGAGGGGTTGCCTTTAAGGGTTAAGGCATCAAAATTGTAGTCACCATGTACCCCTGTGTAATCGTAAGAGGCGACTAAATGGGTCCGAGTTACTGGAGTCTATCCATCTCTTAACTGCAGGTGTTGTGGTTTTGACTCCTAATGCTGCTTTATGTTTGTAACACCTGAGGTTAGCCAAAGTCATCTTAAAATTGAACTGTGTTGGTGCACCATAAAACCAAACAAAACAAACAAGTAAGGAAACATTCTTTAAAAATACAGAAAGTCTTTGTGTGTAAAGTCCTTGTATGTTAAATGAACTGCAAATGCACATCTTTTGAACAGACTTTAAATGGATATTACATGTGGTCATCCTAAGTTGCATATTATTTATTGTAGTCTTAGGTTAGGATAATGACTTTCACATAGAAAGTAGAAAATAGTGTCAGTGGTGAACAGTTTAGTCAAGGGTTGTTAAACCTTTAATTATGATTGCCATTGGTTAGTAGATGATCCAAATATTTTGAGGCTCATTTATCCATGGTAAAAATTGCAAATGATTATTCATGCTATTGTGTTTTTGGTCCTTTAGTTTGACGGAAGGGGATTGTCTAAATTGAAGAAATGATTATAATTATCTGTCAAACAATTTGTGTTGATTGAATTATTTATTGATTATTTTAAGGCTCACTCTTGTGTTTTGTTTGTTTATTTCATAGCACAAAACCGTATTGCAGAGGCTCTCAAGGGAGGATTCCTACAGTTGGATCATGATATGACCCAAGGTAAGTAGTGAGCATAATAAAAATATATTTATTATCCAGAGAGGCACAAAAAGAGTATAGTTGGGTTTGTCATTTCATGACTGTTTTACCTTTTTAAGTGTAAGGGCTTTTTTCCATAAATTCTAGATAATTCCCTTTCTGAATTGTGAATGACTATTTTGTTAAAATTGTGATGTTTATTTTCCTTTTAATTGTGAAAGAAGAAGTGCAATATTGACAATGATTTTAAAAAGTTAATTTACAGCCCACATATTTATTTATTTAATAAAAGACTCATTTACTTAAGATATTTCAATATGAAATTTTTATGTAGCTCTGATTTCATCAAGTAGTAAATACATGCCACCCTATAATAACGCTAACTTCAGTATAATGCTCAGGCCTTGGCTCCCCCCAAAAAATGTATTTTTTGCTGATTATAATTTTTCCATTTTCATTTATAATATAATTTTTCCATTTAACATTTACAACGTGCAGTATCTGCTTTAACATTTGTTTAATGTGACGGTCATGTACTCATTTGATATTCTCTTTTATTCTTAAGCAATTTTCTTTATACTTCATGATGTTGTTTTTTTTCTCCCCTATCTCATATATAATATGATTGAGCTAAGTTAACTTTGTTGCTTTTTCTACTCTCATTTGAAACTAGATTAATTTATATATATTTTTTATTTCAGATGAAACAATGAAAGATGAACTGGCAGGGACTACAGCTATTTCAGTGCTCATAAAAAACAAGAGATTATATTGTGTAAGGGTATTGTATATAAAGTAATACATGTAATTATCTTAATTATCGCAATTGTAATACATGCAAAACCTTATTTGTTACACTTCTATAAGCAGAAATATCTCTTCTTTTATTGATTCCCTGCTGTGTAACACTGAAGTGGATAATAGGATAGGCATCCGTCTGTCAGTATGTCTGTTCATTACATTTAAAGTTCAAATAATGGTCACCTAAAGGTCAAATATAAAAGTCCTTATTTTTTGCCTGCTCCATGTCTTTGAATTGTGAAAAAGTTTTAAGAATAACTTGACACAAGTGATAACAATTAAGAGACAATGTGCAGAACTCAAAAGCCAAGTTGCTACTACTTATATCAAGGTCAGTCCAAGGTTAAAAAAAATGTATCGCAATAGGAGATCTCAACTTGTTAATATGATTTGTGCTTAAAGTTAAGATTATCATTTCTAAGATATTATGGTAAAAGAATTCCTGCCTTTCCTGTTATGTTTTATAAACATAAGTCAATTACAAAAGGAGATATTACTATAAAGTTTAAAACATTACTGGTTTTTAGGAATTTTAACAAAAATAGCAAAAAAGCAACAGCTAGCTTATAGGGATTAAGCGATGATCGAGTATAATCGAAAATTGATCGTTTATAGAACCGATCGGCGATGATCGATTACAAAGTTTAATAATCGATTATCGTTTTTTTTTTCTTGCTTGTAACTTAATGGACTCACTGTATTATAACAACACTTTAAATTAAAGCCAGCTTTGGTTGGAACAATAATTTTCACTCAAATCAATATGAAAGCATACTGGTGACCATGGAGTTAATAGTTGACAGTGAGGCATTCTAGTTTAAAGATATACTATGCTCAAATTTGACATCAGAAAATATTTAGAATTGCTACACAGTCTATTTGTAAATTTAAAATAAACATGTTTTGACTTCCCACAAAGAAGATATGTTATGTATGAAATTGTTTTACACACTAAAGATGGTTGCAATATCAATATATAGTGTCATTAAAAAAACCTGGCAGTTTTGTTTTAACTTGTTCCCATACATAGTTTTTTCATTCCTTTATTGATATTGAGACATAGTAAATGTAATTTCATACGTTTTAATGAATTTATTTGATTAAAATATTTTACTCAAGGATGAGCATAGTAGTTTATCTTTAAACTAGTTTATTTCAGTTGATAAAGTAGTAGCTATACAAAATATAGAATATTAATGGAATTCTTATAAATATTAAAGCATGATATGTACATTGTACATATTTACTTTGTTTTTGTAGATGTTTCGATTATATAATCGATGATTGATCGAAAAGGGTTGTCCGATTATTTTCGATGATCGATTATGATTTTTGTCCGATTAAGAAACCCTACTAGCTTAGTTACAGCATTGCTAAAAATTTCTTATAATATTCTATGTGATTATTTAACAGTTAAACTTGTAACATTACCAGAGTTATATGTATACCTGATATTTTAGGCGAATGTAGGAGATTCTAGAGCTGTAGCTAGTGTAAGGGGTCGTGCTGATGTACTGTCACATGATCATAAACCCGGTAACGAGGCAGAGACAAGGAGAATCATTGCTGCTGGTGGCTGGGTCGAATTTAACAGAGTTAATGGTGAGTGCTTTTTAAACAGGACTTCAGACAGAAATAATTTACCCCTGGTTATTGAATTAGTGAATGTTAACAATCTGGTAGGCAGGAGGCTAGCTTTAACAATTTAAGTTTACACCTTTTTCAATATTTGTTAATTAGTTTCATCAAACTTTAACATGATGATTGCCATCAAATGTCATGGGGCATATTGTTGGGATTTTATGGTTTTGGGAAAATTTTAACTTACCTGAGCACTTAAGTACTCATAGGTGTACTGTTGTAAAAAGCTTAAAAATGATGCACCCAGTATGATCTTTAATAGTAAATGCTCTCAGGGGATTGATCAAGGGCCATCATGGTTCCTTTGTTTTACATTTATGCATGTAAAATTGGCAGAAAACTTGATTCTGTGACAATTTTCTATCACTTTTTCCTAGTTTAAGTCTTTTGTTGGGTTTTCATATTTAATAATATTAGAAGTTATTGTCTTATTTTTAATGGAGTTTGGTAGAATTTGTGTAAAACTGTAAATTGTTATGAATACATTAGTTTTTAGTTAATTTAACATTTTAAAAATATGTTGACTCTTTATGTGATTTCAGGTAACCTGGCTTTATCAAGAGCCTTAGGTGATTTTGTCTTTAAGAAAAATGATAAAAAGGGACCAGATGAACAAATAGTGACAGGTAAACAAACATATTATTGAAATGTTTTTCTAATTGAGCTATATAGTCCTTAAAGCTAGTTAAATGAAATATGTATTATTCAATATGTAGTTTGAATTTAGTGTACTGTATTTGAAATGAGATTGGCTGTAAAGTTAAAGTGTTTTAATCTGAAGGATGCTGAGTATCATTATTATACTCCAAAGTGAAATCTCTTACAGTGTTATGAAATTATATCATCAGAATAAAGTCTTTTCAGAATTGTAGATGAATATGTACATTTTGTATGTGTCATTTTTCTGTGTATAATGTGCCGCTCATGACTTTCTTTCATATACATTTTTTATGTGGCATACATGTGTACACAAATAATGTTATTGATGTTGTTACAATGCTAGTACAGTGGAGCCTTGCTAATCCGAACCCTTCTAATCCGGAATCCTTTCTTATCCGAACGAAGTGTCCGGTCCCGATTTTATTCGTTCTATTTTCAATAGTAAAAAACCTTTCGGATCCGGAACCTGTCTACTCCGAATTCCGGACGATTTTTTCAATTTTTGTTCTTATTTTACTCTAAAATTTACCTCTCGGATCCGAACAGATTTTGCCAAATGTCACACCTTCATTCAAAATAACAAATAATCGCACATATAACAGGTGTAAACATACACCAAACTGATAAGAGTTATTTCGCGTGATTAATGGGTGAAACGTATGATCTGCGAAGGTGTGAAAATTACACTTAGCTTGCCTTGATATCTTCTATAATTGCTTAATTGATTGTTTTTCGTCAGCTTCTATAAATATTTTGATATAATGCAATAGAAATATCTTTGAATCCTTTGTATAGGATTCAATGATACGTGATTAAGTAATGAAAATTAATGGAAACTGTCAGCGAATTCGGATAGTCGCTGAATCGGATACGAGATTACAAACAACTGACAAATGCTGGTACGAATATCAAATCATGTCTCGGCCTCCTGTTTAACATCGTAGGTTAACTTACCCTTGAGGACATAATATTTTTGCTTATTGATTTATTTTTATTTCTTTATTTTTGCATTCACATGTAGTAAAATGAACGATAAGAGACTGCAAAAATAAAATATCTAAATTGCAATTTCAAATGCACTCCCGTTTTCTTACCTTAAACTATTTTGCAAATGACATGCAAAAAACATGTAGAAAAACCTCCTAATTCGGAAACCTTTCTAATCCGGAAACCTTTCTAATCCGAACTTTTCTTCAGGTCCGGACGAGTTCGGATTACACAGGTTCCACTGTATGTTATTTGCCCTGATGATACAGGTCGGCATTATATTATGAGGAAAATTGGTATTGGTATTTGGTATTTCTTGAACTTTGACCCTGAAAATTTGCAGTCAAAATTGTCATTGGGTTAATTATATGTACAAGGAAAATCTGAAGCTCTTGTATTTAAGAGATATAACTAATAGTTGTATTACAATTTCAGCTTACCCCGATGTACAAGAGAGGGCATTGACAAATGATTATGAATTCATAGTACTTGCATGTGATGGTATATGGGATGTATTAACCAATCAAGAAGTTATTGACTTTATAAGAGCAAGAATAGCCCATAGAATGGAACCAGAAACTGTAAGTACCTATTGCAAATAATTTATGTGACATTGTAATTTTGTTACAGTATTTTGTCATGATTAAACTTGATAAGAATGCAAGTTTTACATTTCTTAGAAAGGAAGTTAAGTTTACCATTGTTTTTGATTTTGTGTGATTAAGGTCTTGCCACATACATAGTTTGAAGATATAGTTGTGGTTTAAAATCATTGATTTTATAGTTGTGGTTTAAAATCATTGATTTGCCCTATCTTTCACCTGAAGAACCCTCTGCATCCCAGTTCTGTGCATGCTGGTTACATATCCAGTGGTCCTTATTGACTATTTTTGGGGCAGTGATCCGTGAAACTTTGCTCTACCTTGTTGATCTTTATTCTGATATTCATCATTAAAAACAATCATTTAAGGTATTAGCACCCTAATGCATTACCTCCGCTTTGAAGAGTATTCAAATAGGCTAGAACTACTGTTAACTACATTGAAAATGAGGGCCATGGGTTCAATCCCCAGAAGGGTCAACTTTTTTTTTCTTTCTTTTTTTCTTTTAACATTATTTATGTATCTCTCATGTCCCATTTGGAAAGAAAAAAGTGTTTAATTTTGATTATTTAATTTATATAGGTATTTATTGGCTAAATTATGCTAAATATAGTAATAAATATGGTACCTGATATTTTCAAAGTGTAATATAATCAAAACTAGACGGTAAAAGTATTTCATATTTTACAAGATCAACCAATATACTTTTTAAAAAATTTAGGGAAACTTTGAAAACAGGCACTCATTTGGGTAAATTTTTAAGTTTTTTAAATTAGGCTCCCTAAGTAGAAAAATGGTCAGACACGTGGTAAAAATTGGTGGGGTAGGGTAACATTTTTATACAGATTTCATAAATTTTAAGTAGAAACCATAATTTTGCTTATTTGGATTGTTAGCTGAATGGTACTATTTGTTTCTTACCAAAAATTAATGGGAAAACATTTTTCATTAGAATGTTATTGCAGATTATTTAAAGGTTCCTACTTTCTAAAAAAGGGCCCTCATAACATCCTAGCTTGAGTTCAGAAAAGTGGCCATAACTTGATTTCCGTACGGTAAACTTTGTTTAAATTTTGCATACAGGTGTACTTTAAGGTATACAACTGACTTTTTTAGTTCCTGATAGTGCCCATTAGGGTCCTAATACCTTAACTCAGAATCAAACAAGAATCTGTAAACCAGACCAGCTTAATGAAGATGAGATGTCATTTATTTAATTGCATATGTAATGAATATCTCAATAACATAATTTCCTTTTGAAATTGAGCTTATACATACCTTTAAACATGAATTATTTTCTTAGATAAACATAATATTTACTGAGGAACATCAGGGTCCAAGGTTATAAAGAAGTTTCCTATGCTCATACTCAGATCGCAGGCATTTGATTGGTCAAAAACCAGCATGAAATTTATGTTGACCAATGAAAACCCTGAGATTTGAGAATGATATCAGAAAATAGTTTTATAACCTCCTGGCCAGGGTCTGAGGTTATAATAATAGAATCTTACATTGGCTGCCGGTACAGACCGGAATTTCTAGCTTGAGGGTAACTGTTTACGGCGGTAACGAGGCTTTGCCGAGTTACCGCTAAACAGTTACCCGAGAGCTAGATATTCCTGTCTGCACCGATAGCCGGTGTTTGGTTCTTTTTAGCTCACCTTGCACAAAGTGCAGGTGAGCTTTTAGGATGGCCAACCAAATGGCGTCCGTCGTCTGTCGTCCGTCCACATTTTAAATATTCTAAGGACATCTTCTATGATACCGCAAGGCCAATGTTAATGAAACTTGGCAGGAATACTCTTTGTATGAAGCTCTATCAAGATTGTTCAAAGAATTACATTTCATGCGGAACTCTGGTTGCCATGGCAACCGAAAGAAAAATCTTTAAATATCTTCTTTTAAAGAACCGTAAGAGCTAGAGCTAAGATATTTGGCATGAAACATCTTCTAATGAGTGTCTACCAAGTTTGTTCAAATAAAAGCCCTAGGGTCAAAATTGGCCCCGCCCCAGGGGGTCATTGATTTTCCCTATATGCATCTAGTAAAAACTTAAAAAATCTTCTTTTAAAGAACCCAAAGAGCTAGAGCTAAGATATTTGGCATGAAACATCTTCTAGTGAGTGTCTACCAAGTTTGTTCAAATAAAAGCCCTGGGGTCAAAATTGGCCCCGGCCCGGGGGGTCATTGATTTTCCCTATATGCATATAGTAAAAACTTAAAAAAATCTTCTTTTAAAGAACTGTTAAAGCTAGAGCTTAGATATTTGGCATGAAACATCTTCTAGTGAATGTCTACCAAGTTTGTTTAAATAAAAGCCCTGAGGTCAAAATTGGCCCCGCCCCAGGGGGTCATAGATTTTCCCTATATGCATATATTAAAAGTTTAAAAAATCTTCTTTTAAAGAACCAAAAGAGCTAGAGCTAAGATATTTGACATGAAATATCTTCTAGTGAGTGTCTACCAAGTTTGTTCAAATAAAAGCCCTGGGGTCAAAATTGGCCCCGCCCCGGGGGGTCATTGATTTTCCCTATATGCATATAGTAAAAAGTTAAAAAATCTTCTTTTAAAGAACCGTAAGAGCTAGAGCTTAGATATTTGGCATGAAACATCTTCTAGTGAATGTCTACCAAGTTTGTTCAAATAAAAGCCCTGGGGTCAAAATTGGCCCCGTCCCAGGGGGTCATAGATTTTCCCTATATGCATATAGTAAAAACTTAAAAAATCTTCTTTTAAAGAACCCAAAGAGCTAGAGCTAAGATATTTAGCATGAAACATCTTCTAATGAGTGTCTACCAAGTTTGTTCAAATAAAAGCCCTGGGGTCAAAATTGGCCCCGCCCCAGGGGGTCATTGATTTTCCCTATATGCATATAGTAAAAACTTAAAAAATCTTCTTTTAAAGAAGTCAAAGAGCTAGAGCTAAGATATTTAGCATGAAACATGTTCTAATGCGTGTCTACCAAGTATGTTCAAATAAAAGCCCTGGGGTCAAAACTGGCCCCGCCCCGGGGGTCATTGATTTTCCCTATATGTGTATAGCAAAAACTTAAAAATCTTCTTTGAAAAAACCCAAATAGCTTGAGTTTAGATATTATACATGAAACATCTTTAAGTAAATATCTACAAAGTTTGTTCAAATAAAAGCCCAGGGGTCAAAACTGGCCCTGCCCCAGGGGTGTCATTGTTTTTAACTATATGTGTATAGAAAAAAACTTAAAAATCTTCTTTTAAAAAACCCAATGAGCTAGAACTTAGATGTTTAGCATGAAACATCTTCTTATGGGTGTCTACCAAGTCTGTAAAAATTGGCCCGGGGGGGGGGGGGGGGGGGGGGGGGGGGGCTATATACAGGTGGGCGACCTCAGGGCCATCATGGCCCTCTTGTTTCTTGTGTATTATAATTATTTTCAGAACAGAAATTACGAAAACATGTATTCTCATTACGGACTTTTTAGCTCACCTGTCACAAAGTGACAGGGTGAGCTTTTGTGATCGCTTTTCGTCCGGCGTCCGGCCGTCCGTAAACTTTTACTTTAAATGACATCTCCTCATAAACCACTAAGCCAATTTCATCCAAACTTCACAGGAATGTTCCTTTGGTGGTCACCTTTAAAAATTGTTCAAAGAATTTAATTCCATGCAGAACTCTGGTTGCCATGGCAACCGAAAGAAAAAACTTTAAATAGCTTCTTTTAAAAAACCATAAGAGCTAGAGCTTAGATATTTGGCATGAAACATCTTCTAGTGAGTGTCTACCAAGTTTGTTCAAATAAAAGCCCTGGGGTCAAAATTGGCCCCGCCCCGGGGGGGTCATTGATTTTCCCTATATGCATATAGTAAAAACTTAAAAAATCTTCTTTTAAAGAACCCAAAGAGCTAAAGCTAAGATATTTAGCATGAAACATGTTCTAATGGGTGTCTACCAAGTTTGTTCAAATAAAAGCCCTGGGGTCAAAATTGGCCCCGGCCCGGGGGTCATTGATTTTCCCTATATGCATATTGTAAAAACTTAAAAAATCTTCTTTTAAAGAACTCAAAGAGCTATGGCTAAGATATTGAGCATCAAACATGTTCTAATAGGTGTCTACCAAGTTTGTTCAAATAAAAGCCCTGGGGTCAAAATTGGCCCGCCCCAGGAGGTCATTGATTTTCCCTATATGCATATAGTAAAAACATAAAAAATCTTTTTTTAAAGAACCAAAAGAGTAAGAGCTAAGATATTTAGCATGAAACATGTTCTAATAAATGTCTACCAAGTTTGATAAAAAAAAAGCCCTGGGGTCAAAATTGGCCCCGCCCCGGGGGGTCATTGATTTTCCCTATATGCATATAGTAAAAACTTAAAAAATCTTCTTTTAAAGAACTCAAAGAGCTATGGCTAAGATATTTAGCATCAAACATGTTCTAATAGGTGTCTACCAAGTTTGTTCAAATAAAAGCCCTGGGGTCAAAATTGGCACCGCCCCAGGGGTCATTGATTTTCCTTATATGTGTAAAGCAAAAACTTAAAAAATCTTCTTTCAAAAAACCCAAATAGCTAGAGTTCAGATATTAAGCATGAAACATCTTTAAGTGAGTCTCTACCAAGTTTGTTCAAATAAAAGACCTGGGGTCAAAATTGGCCCTGCCCCGGGGGTCATTGATTTTCTTTATATGTGTATAGCAAAAACTTAAAATCTTCTTTGAAAAAAACCCAAATAGCTAGAGTTTAGATATTAAGCATGAAACATCTTCTAGTAAGTGTCTACAAAGTTTGTTCAAATAAAAGCCGTGGGGTCAAAACTGGCCCGGCCCCAGGGGTGTCATTTTTTTTAACTATATGTGTATAGTAAAAACTTAAAAAAAATCTTCTTTTAAAAAGCCCAATGAGCTAGAGCTTAGATGTTTAGCATGAAACATCTTCTTATGGGTGTCTACCAAGTTTGTGCAAATAAAAGCCCTTGGGTTAAATTGGCCCTGCAACGTTGGCGGTGGGGGTTGGGGGGCCTATATACAGGTGAGCGACCTCAGGGCCATCATGGCCCTCTTGTTTCTTATAGTAGCGTATGAACTTACAATTTCATTCATAACGGTTAAGTGACGTAATCCTAAGAACGCGATTTATTCATAAAAGGCGCGCGGCAATGACGTCATCTAAAGCACACGACTTGTCTTACATGGGGGGGTGTAAGATAGAGTTTTCTAGCACTGGTATAAATGGTAGATAATCCTGTGTCATGTGCAAGAAAGAAATTTGCTAAGCTCAAACTCAGATCTCAGGTATTTGATTGGTCAGCACTGCCACAGAATGACCAATGAAAATCTTGAGATTTGAAACAGAACTCAGAAAATAGTTTTAAGACCTCAGGACAAGGTCTTAAACAAAATTGGTATTATCATGCTTACTAACAGTATCATAGAGATGGTTTATTTATGCTTGTGTTATATGATTTTATAATTAGATTTGTGAAGAACTGATGGCACGATGTTTAGCACCAGACTGTCAGATGGGAGGCCTGGGGTGCGACAACATGACTGTGTGTATAGTTTGTTTACTACACGATCGAGCATATGAGGACTTGATTCGTCGGTGCTCACAGCCCAGTATAGGTGGGCCTGTACCACACCTCAGTAATTATAACATGGATCTAAAATAGCTAACTCTCCAATCTTTACAAGTCTGTTCTCCGTGCTCTGCGATTGTATAACAAAGATGGGCTCTTTGTAAATATAACAACAGGATGTGTGATAATATTTTAGATTTTTTCCGGCAGTTACATGTATATACACATGAACAGAAATTGGACAACAAATTTTATAGATGGATTAATAACGTTCTTGATCCAAGAAAGATGAAAGAAATCCTTCAAGTCATAATATTTAGTGTTAAAAATGTTGTTTGTTACAGTGTGTATTACAGAATTATTTCTGTTACTGTTAACTTTGCTATGGTTTGAGGCATATATTTTTATCAAAGCTATTTATGTTCTTATATTTTTACTGTTATTTAATACACAAATGCTCTATGCAGTTAAATGCTGGGGATATACGGGGACATAAGGGGAAATAGTAAAAATTAAACTAGTCTTAACTAATTCATTCAAACGTTCTAAGAAATTAATCAAGAAGAGACAAATATGAAAGGATTCCATGTTTCTGTATGTATTTTTTATTATTTCAGACTATTGCACAGCATACAGGTAATTAACTGAATAAATTGTTGATATATTGACAGTGTACTCTAATGTTATAAATATTTTAATATGTAAGATTTTATTGTTGATTGTTTTTTGTTGTTGAGCCATGGACTAAGTCTCAATAATACATTGTGACTGTTAAAATTTATTGTTATAATATTTTTAACATATTGGATAGATTGTGTAATAAAATTTCATATACTATATGTACATTTTTGTATTTCATCGTTTCATAGTGAAACTTTTGTATTGTTTTTATCTTGAAAGGTATTAAGATATAAAATTTTCATTATGAAATATAAGAAAATATGTAAATAAGTTTAGTTATCTGTCTCAGTGTGTGTTAGAGTGAAGTGTTGGATTTTATTTAAGTTGATTTATTTTTTAGGTGTGAGTTGAAATTTTGTTATACATGTAATTAATTGGCGATGAAAAGAAAAAAATACTTCTTTATAGGTTCTGCATATACATGTTTTCTCATTTTGTAACGGACAAGATAATGGTTGGGTAATTTTTTATTTTTTTTTATTGAATAACAAAGGTCATTTAAGGGTTAATGATAATCTAGTGTATTTTATGACCATCAAGCAATTAAGAGAGATTGGCAGTTTAGTCTTTACTGGTGTCACCTCATAAAACACTGGTACCAGTTATTACAGGAAGTTCATTCTGTAGAGGTTAAAGTTCACACTATAGAGGTTAAAGTTCACTCTGTAGAGGTTAAAGTTCACACTATAGAGGTTAAAGTTCACACTATAGAGGTTAAAGTTCACACTATAGAGGTTAAAGTTCACACTATAGAGGTTAAAGTTCACACTATAGAGGTTAAAGTTCACTCTGTAGAGGTTAAAGTTCACACTATAGAGGTTAAAGTTCACACTATAGAGGTTAAAGTTCACACTATAGAGGTTGAAGTTCACACTATAGAGGTTAAAGTTCACACTATAGAGGTTAAAGTTCACACTATAGAGGTTGAAGTTCACTCTATAGAGGTTAAAGTTCACACTATAGAGGTTGAAGTTCACTCTATAGAGGTTAAAGTTCATTGCGTAGATGTTGAAATTCACTCTGTAAAGGTTGAAATTCACTATAAGATTAAATTTTATTCTGTAGAGATAAAAGTTCACTCAGTTGAGGTTAAAATTCACTCAGTAGAGGTTAAAGTTCACTCTGTAGAGGTTAAAGTTAGCACTGTAGAGGTTAAAGTTAGCACAAAGCTTTCATCTCAAGATAAAGTTAATTGGTTCAAACTTCATTTATCAGTGTTGTTTAAAAATCGTTGACATACCTGTGAAACAAAGTGAGTTTGCTTTTTTAAATGTTCAAATGTATATATAACAGAGAAAGATGATTAAATAGTAAGAAATTCCGAGGCCAGTCTGTTATTCGGTGGTATTGTGTGCAAGATGTCTATATGACTGTATCCTTTCATGGTTTAAACAAGTGTACTGCATTTTATAAAACTATTGATTTTGTGTAGTATATTGCTTAAATTTTCTTTTTAGGTGTAGAAATGTTTTGAAAGAAATGGCACATTTTTTTGCATCAATTTTTTTTTAAAGAATTGAATGAGTTATAAATTCATCATTAAATGACTAATGAGTATGCAAGGTTACGTGGTATTTGATGTATTAATGCATGTGAGCAGTATACTTGAATGTTTTGGCAACATTTTCAGTTTCATAATTTGATTGACAATGACATATGCAATACAGATCAATCAGGACATGACCCTGTTTCCTCCCCAGTACATACAGAAAATGCTCGATTATTCTATGTCCATGTAGTTGTTTTACTTGCAAGTTGCTGTTTCTTGTTATATTTATAACTACATTATTTTATTTTTGTCTTCAAAGTTATTTTAGAGCAAAAAAAGAAATAACATTGATCTCAAGAGTGTGAATGTTGATTTGAAATTAGATATTATCATCTTAACAGCATACTGTTTTACCTGCCTCTTCATGTATGTGCAGTTGTACACTTTTAGCCTGTTATACCGCACCTGTTATAATGCTTAACTCATTGTAATGCTCAAGAGTGTGGGCTCGCAAAAAACAGTTATATTTTTCACCAATTGTTATAAATAACATACAATTGAAAGGTAAATTGTTAAGTATCCATGACAGTGTGTTTTTTTAAACATGTCAGACAAGATAAGCAGTATTTGTCAGAATCGGTTGAAATCATGGTTTGGCAGCTAGGACCCTAACTTGAGCATAATAATGGTGTGCCAGTGTAATAATTTTATGCTGATTTGACATTAAGTTAGTTACAGTTGTGTGCAACCTTGACAGAAATCCAATTTTTTGCATATTATTTTGTTTCCCAGGAAATCCAATTCTTCATACATGAGCTGTTTCATGATAAAACCACTGTTAATGACATCTATTAATTACAAAATTATGGTCAAAGTTAGCAAATTATACAATTTAAACTTATCTTCATTTGACATTATAAACAAATTTTATTGTACCGTAATTGACTCTTAAATTGACCAGATGATTTCTTAATTTCAAGATATGAATACAAAGTAAGGAGGTATTGAGTCTATAAAGAACTGTTTAGTTGTTCAAGTTTCCCATAAATGCTCATCATATACCTTAAGACTTAAATCATTTTCTGAATAGATTGAAGGGGGTTTGTTTACAGCTATGGATCACATGCTGTGCATTTGAAAAATGTTGCTCACATCACAAAAATAATATGATGTCTAATACTATTCCTCCTTCATCAAGGTTTTGCGTTAATTTTACGAAAAACTGAATTTCATTAACAGGACATTGAAAGCACTGGTACTAGATTGGGATTATATTTGTCATTTTTTTTTTTTTAATTTTTTTTTTAAAAAGGGTTTTTAAAAAAACCCAAAAAAAAAAAAAATTTTTGGGAAAAAAAAAGGTTTTAAAAAATTTTTTTAAAAAAAAAATTTTTTTTTGGGGGTTTTTTGGGTTTTTTCCCCCTTTTTTTTTAAAAAAAATTTTAAACTTTTTTTTTTAAAATTTTGGGAAAAAATTTTTTAAAATTTTTTTCCCAAAAAAAAAAAAGGGTTTTTTTTGGGTGTGTTTTTTTTTTTTTTTTGGGTTTTTTGGGGGGTTTTTTGGGAAAATTTTCCAAAAAATTTTTTTAAAAAAAAAAGGGGGAAAAAAAAATTTTTTGAATTTTTTTTTTTTCCCTTTTTTTTGGAAAAATTTCCAATTTTTTTTTTTGGGAAAAAAATTTTTAAAAAAAATTTTTAAAAAAAACCCCTTTTTTAAAAAACCCCAAAAAAAAATTTTAAAAAATTTTTCCAAAAAACCCTTTTAAAAAAAAAAAAATTTTTTTTTTCCCCCCCCGGGGCCCCCCCCTTTTTTAAATATAAAAAAAAAAATTTTTTTTTAAAAAAAGGGGGAAATTTTTCCCAAAAATTTTCAAAAATTCCAAAAAAAAAAAAAAGGGGGAAAAAATTTTTTTAAAGCCCCCCGGGTTTTAAAAAGGGTTTTAAAAAAAAAATTTTTTAAAAAACCCCCGGGGAAAAATTTTTTTAAAAAAAATTTTTTTCCCCAAAAAAAAAAACCCCCGGGGTTTTTTTTGGCCCCCCTTTTTTTTTTAAAAATTTTTTAAAAAAAAAAAAAAACTTTAAAAAATTTTTTGGAAAAAAAAAAAATTTTTTAAAAATTTAAAAAAATTTTGGGGTTTAAAAAAGAAAATTTTTTAAAAATTTTTCCCGGGGTTAAATTTAAAAAAAAATTTTTTTTAAAAAAAAAAATTTTTTTAAAAAAAATTTTTTAAAAAAAATTTTTTAAAAAAAGGTTTTTTTTTTTTAAATTTTAAAAAAATTTTGGTTTTTAAAAAAAAATTTTAAAACCAAAAAAAAAAAAAATTTTTAAAAAAAGGGTTTTTTTTAAAAAATTTTTGGTTTTTTTCAAAAAAATTTTTTTTAAAAAATTTTTTTTTTTTTAAAAAAAAACCCCCTTTTTTTAAAAAATTTTGCCCTTTTTTCCCAAAAAAAAAAATTTAAAGGGAAAACCCCTTTTTTTAAAAAAAAATTTTTAAAAAAGGGGGGTTTTTTTTTTTTGGGGTTTTTTTTTTAAAAAACTTTTTTTTTATTTTAAAAAAAAAAATTTTTTTTAAAAAAATAGCAAAAAAAAATGCAAAAAAATTTTAAAAAAAAAAAAAAAAAAAAAGGGGGGGGATTTTTTAATAGTAAAAAAAAATTGTTTTTTTTAAAAAAATTTTTTTTTTTCAATAATTTTAATTTTTTTTTAACATTTTAAAAACAAAAATTTTTTAAAATGGATTTGGGTTTTGGGTTTTAAATTCCCGATCGGCCCATTGTTTGGGGCCAAATTTTTTATATAAAAAATTAAGGGGTCCCAAAATTAAATTTTTTTTAAATAGCCAACAGTGAAGACTCTTTTTTAACTTTCCAAACTGATTGGGGATATTTGGTCACAAAATTTAAAGCCAGCTGAAAGTAATTAAGGTTTTAATGCCGGGGATTCTTTTTAAACCCTTTGGGTCATACTAGAGACACTGACTAGTCAGTTTTTCCCCTAAATAAAGGGTAATAAAAAAGATTTTTTCTCTAATCTCCAAATTTTTAAAACATTGTGTACATTACTAGTGTTTCAAAATTTTAAAACCAGCAAAACCCAAATTCAAAAATAATAGGTTAGTTTCCAAAGAAAATCCAAAAAAATTTTACACCCTTATTCAATTCAAAGGGAAATTTAATTTTTTTAAACACTTTACGAAAAAAATATTTATCTGAAAGTTTAAAATTCAAATTTTTCATGAAAAATCCCCCATGTGCATTTTTTGAGTTTAAAAATATCTTAATTGTGAAAAAAAACCAAAACCCTTTCAAATTTCCCCTTCATGCAAAAATTAAAAAAGCTTTTACTTTTGTTTTATTTGTTTTTTTTTTTTTGTTTTTGGGGTTAAAAAATACAGATCCAGGTGTACATCAACATTTTTTTATGGCCCTTTTCATCCAAAAGGTAATTAAGCCCGCTTTTTTGGCTCTTTTGGGGGTATTGAGCTGAGAAACTTTACTTCCCCTTTCATTTTTCCGGTAAAATTGCTTCCCCTTTAAAGAAAGGGATTTAAATTGAATTAAGAAAAATTTAAAAACCAAAGTTTTAATTTTTTTTAGACTAGATTTTTATTTAAGATTTTTTGGTTTTCTACCGTTTGTTTCCAGTGTGGTGGGGTGAACGCACGAAATTTTTTTTTTAAATCCCCTTTAAAACGGATTTTCCCTTTTTTTTCCCTTTACTGTGTTGCTTGATTCAATCCTTACATTTAAAAATTTGATAAATTTAAAAATTTCCCGCTGAATTTTTTTCTAATTGCCAAAGTTTTTAAATAATTTGTAGTAAAAAAATTCTAAATTTAGCTCCCGTGAATTTTTTAGGCAGATATGTTAACTTTTGTTTAAACCCAAAATTTTGGGATCCCCCAAATAAACTCAAATTTTTTGTAAGATAGAAAAAATTTAGTCAAATAAACCCTGTGATAGAAAACCAATGGCCCTTTTTTTTAGAAATGGAAAGCACCTTAAAAGAGAAACAAAACCCGTTTTTTTCTGAAAAACCCTTTCCCTTTGTTTTGATATAATTATGCCCTTTGAAAAATTTTTTATTGAAAATTTTTTTTTTTTTCCAGCATTATAAAACCTTTTACTATGTTAAAAAAATTTTTAAATTTTAAAGAAATCAAAAAAAAAAAATCCTAAATTTTTTTTCCCCCCTTCCCTTGTATCCATTTTATTTCTGATGTAAACATGTAGAGTAAAAGCCTCGAATATTTACAGTCTATTTGTGCTCTAAAAACTTGTCTTTTTACCAAAAAATTTTTTTTTCCTTCTTTTTTTCTCCCTTTAGAACTTGGGTTTTTTTCTAAGTCTTTTTTGGGAAAGGGTTTGTAACCCAAAAAAAGAGCCAAACTTAAATGATTTAAAATTTTATTAAAAAAAAAAAAGGTTGGGAAAAATTTTTATTTTGGGGAAAATTGGTGTCTGGTTTTCCCAAGGCAATGTAATTTGGAAACATTGAGGCTTTATTGTACATGACAGAAATAATGAGAATACATACTTGTCAGTATTAGAAACTATAGAAAAATTAGTCAGCAATAGAACAGTTCACATTTTTTTGTTTGATTTATTGTTGTTGATGTAATATTTTGGTTGGCTTAGCAACCAAGTTTTTGGAAGTGCTTCATATTTTTTTTTTTGAATAAATGTCCATTTTTACTTTTCTTTTTAAAATGTTTTGTGTACATTATACATGTAAACCTCAGTTGGGCAGCAAAGTGCAGAACAACAAATGAGCCGCATCACGACAAAAAACCCAACGTAATGCGTTTGCGAAAACCAGCATGGATCCAGACGCAGCCGCCGCATCCCGTGCAGTCTGGTTCAGGAAATCCATGCTTGTTCGCTATCAGTTTCTCTAACTTATAATAGGGTTTGTAAAGCGTGAACAGCCATGGATCCTGATCAGACTGCGCCGGATGTGCAGGCTGGTCTGGATCCATGCTGGGTCGCAAACCCATTATGTTGGTTTTTGTCATGACGCGGGCTCAAATTAACTGAAACATTACGCTGAGTGTTAATAGGGGTTTAAAAATCCTGTTTAAGTTGTTTCATTACATAAAATTTTTATAAACCCCCTGGAAATTTAAAATTCCCCCATTTTTTAAACAACCATTCCTTTATCTTTAAATTTGGTTTTTCAGGGGGGTTGTGGCCAAAAAAACCGGAAAACCTTTTCCCCAAAAAAAAAATAATCCAATGAAAAGTGGTGTTTAAAAAAAAAAAAAAAGTTCAATTTAAAAAGGTTGCAAAGCCAAAAAGTTAATGTCCTTGAAAAAAATTTGTTTTTTAACGAGGGCCAAAATTGGCAAAAAAGAATTTAAGGTTAAAAATGAATTTTCAAAAAATTGTTTTAAAATAAATTTTAAAAAGGGAGAAACCCACTCTTTGGAAAAAGAAAATTTTTGAATAATGTTAAATCAGGGTTTTAAATTACTTCTAAATAAAGCCCGCCCTTTCAGTGATCATTTATTAACACGATTGACAAAAGCATTAATATTTTTCTTGATTTATAATATGCCTGTTAATACCATATTTACACAATAAACATGGTGACAAAAATTCACTACCTCAGCATTCCATTTAACTGAAATACACAAATGTAGAAATACCCCTATTACAGGCATATAAATATTTAGTTAATTTGCCAAAAAAAAAAAAAAAGATAAAGCTTTAAATATTGTTATTATTGCTAAGGTTATGTTACTAAATTAGTTAATTGTCAAAGCCAAAAAACAGTTACACACACAATATGTACCTCAAATAATTTCACATGCATAATTTCTTGTTGAGATATTTACTTCATAAACCATTGTGATAAATCTAATTTTATCTTGCCACTGGGAATTAAGAAATAAATGTTTACCAAAACTTTTGTTTTTGCTTTTTTAGCTCACCTTGCACAAAGTGCAGGTGAGCTTTTAGGATGGCCAACCAAATGGCGTCCGTGGTCTGTCGTCCGTCCACATTTTAAATATTCTAAGGACATCTTCTATGATACCGCAAGGCCAATGTTAATGAAACTTGGCAGGAATACTCTTTGTATGAAGCTCTATCAAGATTGTTCAAAGAATTCCATTTCATGCAGAACTCTGGTTGCCATGGCAACCGAAAGAAAAATCTTTAAATATCTTCTTTTAAACAACCCTAAGAGCTAAAGCTTAGATATTTGGCATGAAACATCTTCTAGTGAGTGTCTACCAAGTTTGTTCAAATAAAAGCCCTGGGGTCAAAATTGGCCCCGCCCCAGGGGGTCATTGATTTTCCCTATATGCATATAGTAAAAACTTAAAAAATGTTCTTTTAAAGAACCCAAAGAGCTAGAGCTAAGATATTTGGCATGAAACATCTTCTAGTGAGTGTCTACCAAGTTTGTTCAAATAAAAGCCCTGGGGTCAAAATTGGCCCCGCCCCGGGGGGTCATTGATTTTCCCAATATGCATATAGTAAAAACTTAAAAAATCTTCTTTTAAAGAACCATAATAGCTAGAGCTTAGATATTTGGCATGAAACATCTTCTATGAATGTCTACCAAGTTTGTTCAAATAAAAGCCCTGGGGTCAAAATTGGCCCCGTGACCAGGGGTCATTGATTTTCCCTATATCATATAGTAGAAACTTAAAAAATCTTCTTTTTAAAGAACCCAAAGAGCTAGAGCTAAATATTAAGCATGAAACATCTCTAGTGAGTGTCTACCAAGTTTGTTCAAATAAAAGCCCTGGGGTCAAAAATTGGCCCGCCCCGGGGGGTCATTGATTTTCCCTATATGCATATAGTAAAAACTTAAAAAATCTTCTTTTAAAGAACCATATAAGAGCTAGAGCTGAGATATTTGGCATGAAACATCTTCTAGTGAATGTCTACCAAGTTTGTTCAAATAAAAGCCCTGGGGTCAAAATTGACCCCGCCCCAGGGGGTCATAGATTTTCCCTATATGCATATAGTAAAAACTTAAAAAATCTTCTTTTAAAGAACCCAAAGAGCTAGACCTAAGATATTTAGCATGAAACATCTTCTAATGAGTGTCTACCAAGTTTGTTCAAATAAAAGCCCTGGGGTCAAAATTGGCCCCGCCCCAGGGGGTCATTGATTTTCCCTATATGCATATAGTAAAAACTTTAAAAAATCTTCTTTTAAAGAACTCAAAGAGCTAGAGCTAAGATATTTAGCATGAAACATGTTCTAATGGGTGTCTACCAAGTATGTTCAAATAAAAGCCCTGGGGTCAAAACTGGCCCCGTCCGGGGGGGGTCATTGATTTTCTTTATATGTGTATAGCAAAAACTTAAAAATCTTCTTTGAAAAAACGCAAATAGCTAGAGTTTAGATATTAAGCATGAAACATCTTAAAGTAAATATCTACAAAGTTTGTTCAAATAAAAGCCCGGGGGTCAAAACTGGCCCTGCCCCAGGGGTGTCATTGTTTTTAACTATATGTGTATAGTAAAAACTTTAAAAATCTTCTTTTAAAAACCCCAATGAACTAGAACTTAGATGTTTAGCATGAAACATCTTCTTATGGGTGTCTACCAAGTCTGTTCAAATAAACAAATAAAAGCCCTTGGGTAAAAATTGGCCCAAGGAGGGCTATATACAGGTGAGCGACCTCAGGGCCATCATGGCCCTCTTGTTTCTTCCTTGTGCCAAATGATACGAGAGGGCAAACTTCTGCCACTTCCTTGTGCCATATTTATTTATATCTTGTGATGAGAATGATAATCAAATGGAAGAAATTTGTGAAATTTGTAAAATTTCAGTTTCAGATTGGTTAGTTACAGTTGCTGACATAGAATTACATACACCTCACCACTGGTCATATGCAAACACAAATATAGGTTGCTGGTTCTACTTTGACAAGGTCTTTATTCTGCTTGCTATTCAAAAATTATGTGTATAAAGAAGAAAAAGGTGGCAGATTTATGAACCTTGTCATGTATGTCCATGTATTACATACTATGTGATGTGGATGATGAAAAGTTTTACTTAATAAAGTTTGAAGTTAATCTTTTAAAAACAGAACAGAGTATGTCAAACTTTAAAACTTCAAAGACATCTGGTCTGTGACTATAAAGTATAGTGTCTAATTTATAGACAGGTTTGAGTCGTAGATTCGAATATTTACTTTTAGCATTAAAGGTGTAACGAAAGAAATGGCAGTTATTTTAGAGTGTAACAATATGACTGACTCATAAAATACGGTGCTGAATTTTCAGACAAAATTTCGAGCTGTCACATATGCTAAATACCCTAACAAAATTTCAAGCCATCATATAATTTATTTACAAAAAGCATTATTTAAGTTGTGACAATAGAAAAAGGTGGTACCTTAACCATATTACAGTAAAAACATTCCTGTGTTTTTATCTTGTGACACAAACACGTCATGTCATGATAAGTAGTATTTATTGTAACCCTTTGTGTTTCTATTTGAACCAGATAGCAATCAGTGATTGCAATTAAAGTATATTTTCACACATACAACTCGCATATAAAGACGTTAAAACACATACCGTGTGTAATAAAAAACTGCCATGCAAGTTGATCAGCAATCATATTCTTGCCTAGAAACAACAGCTGACGGAGGACAGCAATGCTTGACAATTAGACAGCTTTGTCACAGGGGTGTTTCATTGAGTATAGTAATGCGTACCTATATGAATAGTATTACACGAAATTGTCCCAAAAAGGTACAAAGGCTTGTTATTAGATGTTTTATTGAGTAAATCACTGCTTGTTTATTATGAATGCATAAAATTGTCACAGCACAAGCCCTTCAGTAGTTATCGAGATATCAGCTTACAGGCAAAAACTTGACGAAGAATTTATAAGTTAAAAAAGGGGCTTAATTATGCAAAAAAGCAGAGTTATGATTCTTGTACCAATCATGTAAGATAATCACAGAAAAGAAGCATATGAAGTTTCAATCCATTCCCTTCCATAGTTATGCTTACAAAACTTAACCAAGAATTTCCGAGTCGAAAAAGGAGCATAAATATGCAAAAGAGAGCAAATCAGAGTTATGGGACTTGATAATGTTATATAATCACAGAGAAGAAGCATATGAAGTTTCACTCCTTTCCCTTCCGTAGTTCTGGAGAAAGCAGCTTACACGCAAAAACTTAACCAAGAATTTCTAAGTCAAAAGGGGCCTAAATATGCTAAAAAGCAATCAGAGGTATAGGACTTCTGCCAATCATGTTAGATAATCACATAGAATAAGTGTGTGAAGTTTCAATTCATTCCCTTTAGTAGTTATAGATATACCAGCTTACATGTAAAAACTTAACCACAGGGACTCTGCTGCTGACAAATGGGTGACTGTATAGCTCAAGTATTCTGCAAATAGTCGAGCTTTAAAAGTGAGAAATATCACATGATGATTGATTTTGAGTAATTTAAGGTAAAATTAACTTTGAAATATTGTAATACTGTACAGACCAAATAAAAATTTTTGACACAAAAATTTGACTTATAATAAATATAGGTTTTCATTAAAAAAAAAAATGTAATAATTTGGACTTTCAGCTTTAACTTTGATACACTGAGAAAATCAATCTATCAAAGTTCAACACATATAAGTATGATAAGCATATTTCAGCCTATGTTTAACACAGTGCCTGGCTGTTATGAGGGCGGCTCTCGAAATAACTATGTATAGTGCAGTCACTATACGAGAAATAACCTCTAGACAACTTCCCAAAGTAACACTTCACAATGACTTTAACCTCTGTAGAGCAACAAACAAAATCTTTGTTTCTGGATGATGCTCTGTAAAGTTTGTACTGTATATTCAAGTCAAAACTGGTTAATTTTCAGATTATTTATTTTATAGAAAAAAAATATAATAATTATGCACTTTACAAAATGTAGAAAAAACTCAATTTTAACTATGACATAAAAAAATTTAGTATAAACATTTAAGCACAGCAAAAATGTTTCACATACTAATTTTTGTTTTTCAACAAAATATCACATTTTAGGTCTTTTCCAATGACTGTTTTCAATGTACATGTTTTTGTATTTAAAATAAGAAAAACTGGAATTTATATTGAATAAATATTTATCTTTGTCCATGTCCATGTCTAGTAAATTATATCAAAATTGATCAGAATAACTTTAAAATGGCGATCTCAAGTGTAAAATGCTTAGCTAATAAAGATTCTGAATCTTTGACCATAAAATATGTTTCCTCTCAAATAGCATCATAAATAATAAAAACACTATTGTTGCAGGAAACAAGAGCCTAAGTCCGCCAGCCTCCTGCTACATTATTACTACTCATTTAAATTAGGTGATAAAAATGGATTTCTTTGTTTATATAAAACTAGAACTGAAGCTGGCAGCTTTCAAACAGTAAATTAAAAATAGTTAACATTATAGTGCTGGAAAAAAGCTGAAAATTTACAAATAACTAGAACAGTGTATATTTAATGTTATAAGGTAGATTTCCTTATAACATAAAGGAAACGACAATAAACTCATAAAGGTGCTTTTCATTTCCTTATAAAATTTAGAGTAAGAACAATAAACTTACAAAAAAGTGCCTGTAAATTCCTTATAACATGAAAGTAAAAAAAAACAAAAAAAACTTTCAACATACACACTCATTTTCATGTAAACCAAGAAGCAGTAATGGGGCACATTGGCTTATAAACTGTTATGCAAACCTTAATGTATGGAAATAAGATCATCAGAAAACTACTCTGCAAATGGCCATGAAAGAAATTTGTTCATTGAAGGTCAAATGAAAATCATTTATGGCATTATCCTGAAATTCTTTCAGCTTGTTTGTACTTGTAGTGAACGGAAGTCTGAAAGGTGACCTCATGAAAATAGCAAATATAATCTTAATATATGTTTAAAACTTTAAACTCTGCTATAAATAAATTATTATATCAAATATCAATTATAAAACAAGAGTACAAGTTCTTTTGGTATAAAACAATACAGTGCCAAAAGTACTTAATTTCAATAGCTACATTTGTACATACTTTAAGAAGTCTTACCAAATCAATGTTTGATCTGGTACAATATAAGTTTTCAAACACAACAATTAATGTAAAATGACCAAACACTTTTAATCAATAAACATGATATGAAAAAATATATAATTAACCCTGTAAATATTTAAACTCTAATTGTTTCATCATAAAAATTTAACAATTCCAACTTGCATTGAAAAAATAAGTAAATTTCTGAACCAAACATTGCTGTGAATTGAGATCTTAGAAATTGGTTTGCATTTCTTCCACTCCATACAATTTCCTCAACCATAGGGGAAAGAATACAGTTTCTTCAATGATAATATATATTACAGCAGACAAACGTCAATTTTCTCCATGATGAATTTGACAGCTTCTGGTTTCTTCAGCACCCTTGGTACCTTGTACTGATTCGGTGAACCAGTTGTGGTGTCAATCATAAACGATCGCAGCTCAGTAAATGTACCTGGTTTTACAACGTATACCTTCATAGGTGCTATACTTCCCTTACGACGGAATGATGCATAGACGTATGACAGTGCTTTCAGCTCCTCATCAATCTAAGAAATAAAGACAATAAATTTGAGCCGTGTCACGACAAAACCATCATAATGGGTTTGCGACCAGCATGGATCCAGACCAGTCTGCGCATCCGCGCAGTCTGATCAGGATCCATGCTGTTCGCTATCAGTTTCTCTACTTGTAATAGGGTTTGTAAGCGAACAGCATGGATCCTGATCAGACTGCGCGGATGCGCAGGCTGGTCTGGATCCATGCTGGTCGCAAACCCATTATGTTGGTTTTGTCATGGCGCGGCTCATATGTATGTTATAGGACGTTACAAGAATATCAGTTCATATACACTTATTTTAAACAAGTATAGGAAAAGCTCTGAAGCGAGCCTGTGGCGACTTTTATAACATTTTTAAATTAATTTGATTTCAGTTTTTATCATTATATTTTCTTATAAATTAATTTTTTTTGTTTGTTTTGGGTTTTACGTCACATCGTCACAGTATAGGTCATATCGCGACATTCCAGCTTTACTGGTGGAGGAAGACCTCAGGTGCCCTTCCGTGCATTATTTTAGGCACGAATTGGCACCTGAGTAGAACCACCGACGTTCCGTAAGCTAGCTGGATAGCTTCCTCACATGAAAGAATCCAAAGTCCCTGTTGGGATTCGAACCCACAGCGGTGAGGGGCAAGTGGTTTGAAGTCAACGACCTTAACCACTCAGCCACGGACGCCCCATTCTTATAAAGTAATATTACAATTGTCATAAATATAAATCTTAGTTTTTGAACACTATTTTGAAATGACTCCAAAACTGTCTTGAAATAGTGTTATTTGAACGAAATAAAAATTACTAGTAAATGGAAGAACAAGTACTTCATCTGCAAAAGTAAAATATGGCTTTTGTTACATATAATACAGTATAGGAATATGAAATTATAAACTTCCAGGGTTATCAGTTGTTGGTTAATTTAACAACAAACGGAACAATTATCCTCCAGCTATACTATTATCATATTGCATCAGCAGACATACATGGAGAAAACATATCAACTCTGAATTTGTGAATCTATATCTTTCAAGAAATTCACAAAGATACAAATAAATTGATACATAATTATATACTTACTTCTAGTTTAGAAGAGACTGTTTCACCTTTTTCCAGTTCAATAAACACATGGTAGCATGGAGCAGCAGATGGTTTATCTACAACAACAACAACCAACAATGTACATTTGTTCTGTTAGTTTGGGTTTGTTTTTTTTTCAATTTCTGGCAACATTACACAATTTTACAACTTAATATTGGAGTCAAATTTCTTATAGAAATTAAAATATTTAATATCAGTAGAAATTCTTACATATGTTAATACCAATGATTGATTAATCACTTGATAAAGCTGTAAAAAACGAGATGGATTATAGGTCTACATATTGCTTAAATGTTATCACAGTACAAACATGTGCCACAACAAGCAGTCAATCTCCAAGAATGCTTGTCTATAAACCTTTAGCACCAGCCAGTTGTGACCAGAAACCCATTAACCTACTCGTTTATGTGGTAAAATAAGCTGAGTTTTAAAACCTTCTGTATGCCCCCTTTACTGTCATAGTTCCAGGACTTTCCTTGAACTTGTTAAAGTATCAAATCAAGCTACTAGTATTTCATAGTCTGCAAATAAAATTTTTTACATTAAACATTAAAATCAGAAAAATATAGAAATAAAAATATGCTTTACCATTTGAAACTTGATCGACCATAAGACTTTCTGCACAGCAGTAGTCGACCATGTTGAGTCCTGACTTTTTTACAGCAGATTCAACAGCTTGGTAAAAATAGTTCTCTGATGTCTTCTCTCCTCTTACATTTAAAAACTGTCCCTGTCTGTAATGTGATATCAGATGGTTAAATGTATTTGAGCTGCGCCATGACAAAACCAACATAATGGGTTTGCGACCAGCATGGATCCAGACCAGCCTGCGCATCCGCGCAGTCTGATCAGGATCCATGCTGTTTGCTTACCAACCGTATAACAAGTAGAGAAACTGACAGCGAACAGCATGGATCCTGATGATGATCAGACTGCGCGGATGCGCAGGCTGGTCTGGAACCATGCTGGTCGCAAACCCATTATGTTGGTTTTGTCGTGACACGGCTCATTTACACTATAGTTGTACTATTTTCTGTTTTTACAGGTCCAGAGATCGAAAATTCCACTTGTCTGCTCCTAATTACGTGTAGAATTTAAGAGAACTTGATGCAGGACGAGTAAAAATTTTTGCCTGCACATTGGATTTAGAAGCTACTTGTCCTGCAGGACAAATGACTCTGAAAATAATTTTCAATGCCTGAGGTCTTCATGTAGGCTTCAATGTATTTATAATTTTCATTAATATTAAAAACTAAAATTAGCCAAAAACAAATTGTTTAACTTTTTAATTACAAAATTAAACAGCAATTTGCAAGATGTAATGCTAAAAGATTGCCATTTAAAGTTTTAAAGCAATGTAATTATGAGAATGACTTATAAATGCCAGATATTAAAGAATTGTTTAAATGAGGTGACTGAATGGTGTTCTGGTAAAAATGTGGCTTATTGCCATGATTGAGAGGGTAAACTACCAACACCTACATTGATTAAATTCTGCCTTATATACAATCTCACAGCTACATTACAGGATTGATAATGTTTAGATATTGGTCATATTAGTTAACTGACACACAGACTAACAACCCAACATATGGCAAATCCATGATACTAGAAAATTGTAAAAGATACATAACCATGTTTTTATTGTACTTAACAATTCAAAAGGAACACATGGAGTTTAACCATTCAATTTACTCTCTCATTATTCTTTTTTTTTTCACTATATTTTATATATACAGTGAGTGTATGTGTATCTAATTTCAATAATCTACCTGTACTGGAACTCTACAACTGGACAGGTGTTGTGACGCCCAACAACTTTAACTACATCACCAAATCTGTACCTGTATAATCCACTTGCATTTGTTATCACCATCTCATATACCTGATCTACCTCTACCTTTAAATTAAAACACATTCTTCAATAATTTGCATAATAAATCCCCAAATAACTACCACTGAACAGAAATTTATTCATTAGAGGTTCATACTGAGTTCTGATGACAGTTCACAAAATTTCAAACTCTTATAAAATAATGTTATATTCAAAACAAGCGAATTTATGAAAATAATTCAGACCTTAACTTGTACAGGACACATCACTTACTTCACTCACTTTTGACTCAATTCCAAAAGCTGTGTAAAGTGGCGGCATGGTTGAGTGGTTAACATGTCAGACTAGTAATCTAATGATCCCAAGCCGCATGGGTTCAAACTCTGTCAGGGGCAAGCCGTTGTTTCCCTGATCAAGAAACTTTACACTTCTTGCTCAGTACTGTTGGTTCCAGGAACGGATTCGAAAGTGTGTCTATAAGCTAATAGCTTCTTTCACAATAAAACTAAAATAAATTCTGTATACACCAAAATTGTGTTAAAAAGATTAACTACAATTCCTTGCAAAATTTGTATATATGAGCCGCGTCTTGACAAAACCAACATCAGGGTTCCCACAAAGAAGAGAAATCAAAATTCCCTGACTTTTCCATGACTTTTCCCTGACCAAAACTATTTTTTCCTGACCAATAACAGCATCAAATTTCCACAATCTTAGAGCATTAAATGTATTTTTTATACATGCATTTCGACCTCCTCCTCCTCCCCAAATCAGCCAACCTATTTTCTCCAATTCTTTATTTTAAATTATTCAAGATAAAAAATACATGAATATTAGCGAGCTATTGTCATTAGCTACTTGTCTTGTTTACTTGTACATTTATCCAAAATGTAAAGTATTTGATAATACATGTCATGCTAAAAGATGTTTCATTCTCTTAAAAATACAAAGCAGTGTAATCAATGGAGGATTGACTAAAACAGGCCTGCATTTTACTAAAATATATGATAATAATCAATGGAACACTGGTGTTGGACAAGAAACAATAAGACAGGTAATAAAATGGCTAAATAAAAAGCAAAATGCAGTAAAAGCTAATAATACTACTAATAAAACTAACTATGGCAGTTAGTATCTCAAAGTTATGAATTGTCATGTGTACAAAAGCACAGCAAGGCACAAAATATGATTGGTAATTAATCGCAAGGCACAAAATATGATTGGTACTTAATTGAAGTCCACAAAGTGTTATCTCAAGTTTCTCAATTTCTTTACTGGATTCTTTTATTACTTTTCTTTGACCTTGCCCCTGAAGGCATTGCACTTGCCATTGGACTTCACAAGCAAGTCCATTTTTATCTTTTACAGCCTCCTGTGCCAGATTATCAGTTTCTTTCACAAGAACAAACCATAAACAGCTCAGGAGGCAAGGGACACCTAAACCCCTTTTTGCTTCTTTCTTAATAAGTTAGTTACTGTTAATGACAAAAAATATCCAAAATCTTCAGGCAGAAGCATAATCATTCTTTAAGAGTAAAAGAATATAAAAATAAGACAGATGCTCATAATCAAAAATAACAATAAAGATACCCAAAATAACGGAAGAAACTGCCTTAGCTTTTACTGATTTTGCTTCTTGCTGTTTGACAAAGAGTTATTTTCTACAAAATTCCCTGACTTTTCCCTGACTTTTGCTTATTTTTCAAATTTCTCTGACCAATTTCAAAATTCCCTGACTTTTCCCTGACCTTGAAAAAAAATCATTTTTCCCTGACTTTTCCCTGACCGTGGGAACCCTGAACATAGTGTGTTTGCGACCAGTATGGATCCGTGCAGTCTGATCAGGATCCATGCTGTTCGCTATCAGTTTCTCTACTTGCTATAGGGTTCGTAAAGCGAACAGCATGGATCCTGATCAGACTGCGTGGATGCGCAGGCTGGTCTGGATCCATGCTGGTCGCAAACCCATTATGTTGGTTTTGTCATGACGCGGCTCATATTATGAAAACTTACTTCATCTAGAAACAGGGTCTTTGGCTGCTCTTCTTCACAATTTTGAACAGGAATGAATTCAAAGAACATTGACTTTGGTGCCAACAAGTAACGACTGGGTCTCTCTTTTGGCCAAATGTTGATACCTAATAAACCCTCTGAAGCAGCATACAGGGGTGAGTAAATAGGTATTCCTTTACAATAAATCTCTCTTAGTCTATTAGCATAGAGTTCAAATGTGCCTGAATCGGCAGTCATTACAAAGTGTAAATTTGGCCATATCCTGGGTGCAAGTCCAGTAACACCTTTAGCTCTGGCTTCACGCAATTCAGCTGCTCTTTTGGGGTCAGGAGACATCAACTTGTTTAATTTTTGTCTTACGCTATCATCAATTTGAATATTTTCACTAACACTGCCACTTTCAATGTCAGATATCAGAGAGTCCCAGTTGGAATCAAGAGCTCTGAAGGATGAATAAACAAGAGATGCAAAATTAGCTTCGATTATGCCCAAGTTTTTATCTTTCAGTCCAAACAACAGATGTATATACAATGCCTCGGGTTCTGACAATACTTCATATCCTGCCTCTGGGGTTGAGTACATGCTTAGAATCCTTTTTGAATTTGCAGGAGAGGAAGAGTTTGGTCCGACGGGTATGCCACATTCTGATGTCCTCAGTTTCGGAGTGTAGAAGAATTTCATATCTTTCTGATTATTTCCAAACCCAGGGAAAGCATCACTCATACATTTAAAAATTACACATATACCCTGTAAGAAGAATGTTTTCTGTTGGCTGCTAAGCATTGGAATGGTTGAGCTTTTCCCCGATGTTCCAGATGTCACAGCAAATATTACCGGCTTATCTTTAGTGAGAACATTCTCCTCCCCTTTCATCATTCTCTCTATATAAGGCTCATAGTGGGGGTATCTGAAAATAAAAACATTTTTATTAACATTATTTTGTAAGTAAGTCCACTAACTTTTTTTTCAATTTTTTATAACAACCTATGGCTCTCTGAAGGGGAAAATATAGCATGATTAATCAGAAAAGGATGAAAACTTGAAATCAAATTCCAACAACTGAGAATGGAATTTACCCACACATTTTACAAAAACTTCAATTTCAATTCAATTTAACATGCCTGGCACACTCTTTTTCAGTCGATTAAATTTATCAACTAGCTGATATAAGGCAGACGCTGTTAAGTCATGGTTCTGGTGAAGAATGATCACGGGGCATTTATGGGGGAAAATATTACATTTTTAGGGGAAAATATACCAATTTTTTGCTAGGGGGAAACAGCCTTAATTCTGTCGTAAAAAATAGGAAAAATAATCACTGATGTCAGAACCTTTTGATTGATCTTATAACAAGCAGATGGGTGTCAAAACAGAGACATGGTTTTCATTTATTTGTGATGCAGTGCCAATGAAAAAACAAATTTGGTCAAGGGGTATATTTTAATCTCAGGCTGATAATACAACTGATTTTAATAGCATTTCAACCAAAGATATAGATCACCAATCTGTTATTAATGAAAACCCTGAAAGATATTCAATAACAATGAAATTTGAGCACATTCTAACAGTTTAACACAAGTCACTACCGCTATATCTCAATGAACTGAAAAGGCTAGAAATGTCAGGATATTGTATTATAAAGACCGTCATTTTTCTTATTATTAAATGAAATACATGAAGTTGTCAAACCAATATTGCTCATTTTTGTAGCCTTTCATATCTATGGTACCATGGTACTTAATGTTTAAATGAACAAAATACTGAAATATAAAATTTGTCTTTCATGATTATTTTCCAATGCTAATGGTATAAAATTCTTGCTAAAAGACCTAATTAAATTTTTTTAATACTGTATGTACTGTGTAGTATTTTCTGTACTTTAATTGCCTTCCTCTTTTCACATCTCATACTGTCATTCCTTATATTATCTTATTATCTTTTTCTCATTAAACAATGCCTTCCCTGTTATCTATTTCAACTACCATAGTTATCATCTCTAATTGTATTGCCTTCATTCTATCCTTGTGCTTCCCCTCCTTCCATTCCCAATTGTCTGCATATCTTATCTCTCACACTTCTGACCCCCAACTAACTTATCAATCAATCAATCAACCAACCAATAAAAACAATCATTCAAATCAATCAATCAAATCTGTCAAAATCAATCAATCAAATAGTAATTATCTTAAGCAATCTTAAGCAAGATAAGGGCTAACCTTGTAAGTGGATGGTTCTTCACAAAGTCTTCCCTCCCTGTTATATCTTTGAACAGAAATCTTTGACCATATTCTGTATCAGCATTTTCTTTAATTCTATTCATCAAAGTTTCATGCTGAGTTTTGGTTACATCTTTAGTTGACTCCTCCAACTCTCTCCTCTTGTACCAACCCATCCAACTCATAACTGTCATGTTGATATACCTAAAACAAAATCTTACTTCAATATAAATCCATTAATATGCTACAACAGGCAAAGCAAACACCACAATCTAGATTTTTACAAGAAAACTCTTACTTTAGTTTATTAATAAAGTATGAATAAAATCCTGCTTAAATTATTTCCAAATATCATGGTTTTCTACTTTTATTATCATTTTACTTTCTATAATATGTTCAAAAGAATTTTAAAGGGGTAAATATTTAATTTATATAGAATTTATAAACCTAACATATAATATTTATAACAGTAAATTTGTATGTATACATTAAATTTTCTATTAAGAACATTCAATCTTTAGTTTATCAAAGTAAGACTCTCTGGGGAAGTGGATAAACTCATATCATTCTTTCTTTCAATTGATATAACTTAAGAATAATGTAAGCTATTGGATAATATGGAAACAAAATGGTTATGTTCTATAAATGGATATATATTGCTTAGAAGGCAAGACATACTACATTGTATTACGATTTATTTGTATTTTATACTTAAAAAATGCATCATTTTTGGCACACAAAAAATCAACATTTTTGGCACACAAAAAATCAACATTGATCAGGAAAGTATCATTTTGAATAATATAGGACAAAGTTTATACCTATTCATTATGTCTTCATAAAGCGCTATGCATTACTCATTGGAAGACACAATAATATGAAACCTGCACCAACCACTCTGATTCAATCTGAAATATAGTAGATCTATACATTAAAATCATAAAGAATATAATTGAAAGTGAAAATCTTACTAAATTACAAGTGGTTATTCAATTTTTGACATCCTTAGGTGCGAGTATACTCCTTGTGGAGTGATGCAATTACTTGAGATGATGATGATGATGATGATGAATGCATGATGGATCCCTGACCTGTGTTATTCTAATTATTGGATGGGAAGATACAATAAAATTTCACAACATATGTGTTAACAGAAGACCAGATGCCAATGTTTGTGGTTAAAATGTAGGATGATTCTGGGCTCTGATGGAAGGGCTTATTCCTTTTTTATTATTCAGTATTTGTAGGCCCTAATTCTAATAAAAGGTCAGTTTAAGGATCTAACAATTTATGTAAGACACTTGAAACTTAAAATAGCTCCGTCTCTGGTGTAAAAAAACCATTCTTATTTGTATTGTCTCACCAACATAGCTTATCGTTGATTTAATGACATTATTAACTGATTAAATTTGTGTCGAATAGGGATGAGGCCGAAACAGCAGATCATGCTTCTGGAATTTGACCTCCATTATAATAACTGACACTTTACTACATCTTATTCAAACTTTTCTCGCGTACAGGCCAACTGAGAAACCTGTAAAATCTACTGACACATAGATTTGCATTATAAATTATTCTATTTACCTGAGCTGTCCTAACGCAATTTACGCAACCGGTACGAGTTATCGTTCCTTACAGGTATGACTGAAATACGAAAGTGACTTTTTTCTGACGAAAGTGAGCGAAAGTGGCTTATCAATACTAAATATAGCGTTTGGATAGATTTTTATATTGAAATTGCAGTTTGTAGACATATCATCAAAAATGATTAATATTAATTTCAAAAATAACCGTTATGATGGTTTAATCTTCATTTATTTGCACAAGTTCAGATCGAGAGTCTTTAAATCTTTGTTTCTGGCTAATGTAAAGGAAATACACGTACTCTTTCCACTCCAAGTGTATTCTGACATCTGTGACAGGTTTAAATATGTTTAAAACTACGACTGATGAAATATGAAACTTAGGCGGATGCTTGCCCTACATCTTGTAAACATGTTTTTTTCTCAAACATATAAGCAGCTGTTACAATTTAATTGACTTGTATCATAATATATATGAATGGACAGACTGCAGATATCTCAAAAGTAAATACTTAATGCGCATCAGCGCTTTGAAATAATTACGTCCTAGTTAAATTAAATCTGATTGCTAAAATAAACAAGAACAAAACAGATCGAGGATATACATGTACACATAACTTGTGAGTCAGGTTTCACTTTCCAAATGTTTTGTGAATATTGTTATGAACATGGACGAAATAACTTCTCATTTGATGGATTTTGTGTAAACTGTGATAAATACCTCTGCACAACATGTTTAGGAAAACAACATGTTTCGTAAACTCCTATCACAGCACATACTGCAGAACAAAAACAGAATGCCTGTCGACTTCTACGTGGAGAAAGTCAAAAAACACCCTCACGAGTGTCTTACGTTTTACTGCACCTCATGTGAAGATATCGCATGTTTTACATGCAAAACCACAGATCATACAGCATGTAAAGAAATACATCAGCTACCAAGACTAGCTGCTGATGTGGATCTAGTAAAAGAATGGAAAAAACCAGAGGATAATCTTGATCATTTAGAAAACGAAACTGAGGATTTGACACAATTAAATTGTTGTTAATTTTAGCACGGATTTATATAAATCCGTGATTTTAGGCACAAAACTGAACTGATCAGGGCAGTAACAGAACAAAAGCAGGAAGTTGAAAAGATTTCTGATGACTATAAAGAAGAGATTGATAAACTTCGCCAGGCAAATCATAAGACACTTGATTTGAAAGATGGCAAAATTGAACTTCTCCAAGCAGACATTCAAGGTCTAAAATCGGAAATAATGGAATTGAAGAATTCTCATCAAAAGTGTAAGATATACATGACAACCAAAAAGTTAACACATAAAAAAAAAACAATAAAAAATCTGTTAAAACATCTTAAACATCAACTTGGAGAGCCTTTAAGTAATCGTGTATTCAAGCAAACAAGCAAGAGATAGATTCAAGCCTGACCATTTCGGGAAAGTGACATTGAATCCCTTTGGAACTGCAAATGAAAATATGATTCAATGGCTCATTGATCATCTTATGAAAGCAAAGAAGAATATGATTCAATGGTTCATAACTGTTCTTATCATTGCATATGCAACTATGTCTGTGAAGAAAATGCCCATAAAAATCAATAATTGCACAAGAAAAAAAATGTCAGAAAAACAGTTGGAATCCCTCACTTGCTGCTACTGCTGCACGATACTGCTATTGCTGTGATACTGCTAAGTACTGCTGTGCTACTGCCTAATGTTATTGATGTATTGTCCAGGTCAAGCGCAATTTAACTAGCTAGGCGAACTCGTTTGGTCTAAAGCAACAACACAACACAAAGGTTGAATGAAATAGGGCATTTATTAATTTAAAATGACATAAATGACAAATGTTGGTATGTTCATATTTATATCTAAATGACCAAACTGGGAGGTAAAAACCGCCCAAATGGGAACCCTGCCGCCGAATGTCATTTCAATCCCGGAAAACACATTAAAAATCTATTCCATTAAGATGTACTGCAAAAATAAAGAAACTAAAACAATGGCAACAGTAGGGATCGAACCAAAGACCTCAATTATCAGGCATTCACTTAACCGTCTATGTTATTGTGAATAAACGAAAATCTTCAGCGGGTGTGACTTTCAAAACATGATTAATATACTATTATTTCACGTAAATTACATAGGGATCGAATATTTAGATGAGTGCTATAATGTATTCATAATTGACAGGTCAATATATAATCAGACTATACCTGCTTTTGAAAATAAATACGTTTTTTAAACACTTAAAGTTGAATCTGGGTTGACTGATAGTGACCCTTGTTATATACAAGTAGAATACAAAGCAAAGGTGTTATTATATATACCCAATTTAGAAGCGCATATGTGTTATTAAACTCATGAAGGTTATAAGAAGGCGGCGTTTGTAACGTTAAGGTAAGATACCTGTAATGGGTATATTTAGGAACCTGATCAAGCTTAATATTTTATCAAAGTACTCTATTTAACTTATTCAATTGCAACTTTTCAAAGACATTTACCATCAAGTTTTCAAATTATAAGCATTTTTATGTGAATACCCCCTCCCACTAAATTGCCCCCAAAACAGTGGGGGTAGGGGTAAGGAATATGGAATACATATGGAAAAAAAATTGCAGCTTTTACCTACAATGTAAGTGTTTATTATGTTTCAAGACATATATTATGATAACAAAATAACAATAAACTGTTCACAAAATGTATTGATTTCAGCCAATTGACTAAAACCTCATCCAAGACTTCTGAAACTTAAAAAAAACACATAAAAATAGATATAAAATAAGAATTATTATTATTATTTTTTTTAAATATTTGAATTGGGGCAAGCAAATTACTTCTATAACTTTTAATACTCTTCCATAGCAATCAAAATATGGAAATTTCATGACCTCTTTCCACATTACTTTTTTGACAAAAATGTGTTTTACAAAATGATGTAAAAAATTTTCCGAAACAAAAATGTACAGCATAGCTGTTACCTGTCTTACTTATCTCTTGGAAAACAGCAGATTTTGTAAAATATGATTATTTATGTGTTTTTCTAAACAGAGGCTATCTTAATAAATGTACAGTCATTTAAATGAAATCTTCAAATATTGTTTTATAATATTTGTCATGTTCACATTCTCAAAAATTTCATTGCTTAACTTCCAAAATCTAACAGGAAAATTATTGAAATTTATTACAAGAATAACTATTTCATCACAAGAAACTACTTGAATTCATTGCATCCTCTCAGTAAAATATTGAAACAATATTTAAATAATTTCACTTCCAAAATATCAGAACATAATAACACAAAAGCTGATATATAGAGGATATTGAAGGAGTGTTCAATGTTCAATACTGAATTTAGTACTGGCGAGCAAATTATTATTACATTCAACGGACCAAGTTTAGAAATAATTGCAGACATTTTGTTTATATTCACAGGTCATTTTATGGCAATTATTTTACTATTTTAAACGGTATATCTGTATCTGTATATCTGACCGAGTGGTAAAGGTTGCCGACATAAAATCACTTGACCCTCGCCGCTATAGGTCCGAATCTTGTCAAGGACTTATTATCATACCTCCGAATATTTTATTCCATTTCACTTCTATCTTTTACGCCTCTATCTGCTTCTGTTACATCGGGAACGTTTAATATACATTATAATGCACACCCCTGGCTACACGTACATTTATATATACTTAACGAAACTTATAAGTACTCCGACAATTTTTTTTATTATATTGTGTTAGAATAACTATAACTATTCTAAGACGGTACTGTATAAAATTTAATCATTGTATCATCATTTTATAATAGTAAATTCATTTTACAATAAATCAAACTTAACAGAAAATCAGTAACTGAGATCACCATTGTAAAAAAATCAAATACATGTATTTTGAAAACCGGAGTTTTCCTGAAAGTTTGAAATCGGAGTACTTATAAGTTTCGTTAAGTGTATATGCATCTGGTACACTTAATCGTCTTATCTCACATTTGTGACATTATATTTGAATTGAAAACAGAACCAAACATTACTAAAGATCAGTTTGAAAAATATATACATGTATGTTACATATATTTTGTTCAAATTTGGAAATCACGTGTATGAAAATACATTCTCCTTCTGTTTAGATAATCATATAAATGTAGGAAAAATACTTAAATTATTTCATGAATGATTCAATTAAATTGTACCCGACTTAAATCAAGAAATAATTAATTATATATAGCAGATAATAAAACGTTCTGGAACAGAATATCGCTATTATTTAAATAAAATGTTTACACTATAAATCACTTGAAACTTTATCAACATTTTTGCTGAAGAAATGTTTTATATGAATATCCAAATAATATACAGTTTTATTGTTTTATATCAATATTTAAAATACTTATGGAAAATGTGCCTAATGTAGACCAATCATCCTTAAATAAAAACCTATAATTATCATTACATTAATTATTTATTTTGAATGTTTCAGAGATATTGTCAGCACCACCCTGGAGTCCAGAATCCGCCGAAATTTTGCGGGTTGGAACGTGGGTCGTATGCGTATGTTTTTGGTTCGACGTAACTTTTTCTGTACTCGTCCAGTTTAGCTTCCATTTCTTTCACTAACTCGGGATATAATTCACTTAGATCATTGTGTTCGGTAGGATCATCTATAATGTTGTAAAGTCCTTCTCCTTCCCATTTACGGGTATTTTTAACGTCATTTCTTCCCAATCCTCCGCTTTGTTCCATTTCAAATTCAATGACAGGCTCTGTATGGTATCCATGCCAATTCAAATTATCGGAAGTTTCTGTATAAACCTGATCGGGCTTGTACCAGTCCCTATATCGACCCGGATATCCTTGAATGTACTTAAAGTCGCCAACACGTATTGCAGCGTGCCCTTGCGTATCTGGTTGTTCGGAATTATCAAGGTTATATACTAACTCTTTACGTTTTGAATCAACTCCTGTACTAATGGCTTCCCACTGGTTCAAACCATCTATATCATTGGTTTCACTTTTTTTATCAGTTCCACCTGCAGCAGCAACAATAGTAGGGTGCCAATCGACAGCATGCATTAGACCATTATATGTGTAGCCGGACTTTTCCAATCCCGACCCTACTACAAACGCAACTGCCCGTGTTCCACCTTCAAATATCGTCGTCTTTGCTCCCCGCAGCGGATAATTATTACCAGAGGCTAATGGAAGCCCCCCATTATCAGCTGTGAATATAATAAGGGTGTCTTCCAGCATGTCATTTTCAGTAAGAACATCTGTAATATTCCCGATAGCTTCATCCAAAGCGGATACCATACCACTATATTGACGTCTCTGTTTGGTTTTTATGTGTGGATACATATTCTCAAACCGTTCAGGTACTTGAATAGGGGAGTGCACCGACTGGAAAGGCAGGTACAAAAACAATGGTTTTGCTTTATCGTGGTCATTTATAATCTTTTTGGCCCTATCAGCATACAAATAAGCTGAGTAAGTTGTGTCATTAATCTGCTTTTTGTTTTCATGGAAATCAATACCTAGTCCAATAACTTTAGTGTAATAATTTTCCATGCCTTCGTAATACCCTAGGAAAGAGTCGAACCCACGGTACATCGGGGTGCAATTCCAGCTACAGGATCCGAGGTGCCATTTACCAACCATATGCGTGGAATATCCTAGCTTTTGTAGTTTTTGTGGAAAGAATTCGAGACTAAGCGGAGAGCACTCGTTTGTGCCTGGTATAATGACGCCGCGTTGCATTCCAACTTTGAATGGGTACACACCGGACATCCAGCTGTTCCGAGACGGTGTACACAACGGCTGGACGTATGAGCTGTTGAGAATTACTCCCTTGTTCGCAAGTTTGTCGATATTTGGAGTAATTATATCAGGATTATGGAAGCCAATGTCATTCCATCCAAGATCATCGGCTACGATGAAGACAATATGTCTAGGTTTAGCTGAGATGATGGACTGCTGACACAAAACTGCCATAAGTAACATGATGGTACCATTTAATATTCGAGCCATGGCTATACTCTGAAAACAAATATATAGGGAATATTTATATACAAGCGACCAGGAAATAAACAGAAACATGATATAAATATATAATATTCCAGATGTTTTTGGTCAATATTCTTAAAATAAGAGCTTTGCTGAGACGGGGCAATTTACGCCCGAAGGCAAATTTACAGTAAGGTATCATGGACAAATAAATGTGCCTTAAAGAAAGATTACGGTGGCACAGAGGTGAGTTTTTGGTATAAATTGCTTACAACGCAAAAGTTATACTGCGAAAACTATTAACAATTTGTTTGCGGACGTTCTAACATTTTGGTTCAGTGTGACTATTCGATTGTCCTAAAAAGCCATATAAAACACACAAAAAAAAACACATAAAATTTTACGGAATGAATAGGACCAAAGAAAATTTACTGTTAACTATTGTTCCCATAGCCATAAATTTAAACCCCCAAAAAGTTCGCTCAGACAGACAGACAGACGGACGGAGAGCGCCATATCGTAATACGTCCCGAAAGTCCTTGAGCGTATGAAAAGTCGATTGACCTTGATGTATGAAATTAAATGAATAAAACACGGGAGTAAAATATAGTTTATAACATAATCAGTATGATACCATATAAAGTATGAAAATAAATGTTTCAGCAACTCCGACCTGTTCAGCTATCATCTATCAATATGCAAACAATTCCTTAAATCGAGCATCGTATTTGTAGAAAATAGACGTATATACACTTAACAAATCTTATAAGTGTGCATGTATAAATATCTTATAATGTGAGTCAATATTGACCTATCATGCTTAGAATTTTTCCATAAATACAGTTGAGAGACATGGTATGATATTCCAGTTATTAAACTTCATAACAAACACAAATTCAACACACATGTCCAATAAATGTGATGGTGCGTAAAAAGTAAATGTCGCAAAATTATTACATCTGTGGTTTGTATTCTAAATCAACGTATGACTACATTGACTTTAAAAGCAACACTTCAGTCTGGTTTATCATTGTAAATATGATTTTGTGGTAGATTTTAGATTTAAGAAATCTTGGTTCGTTACTGGGCGATTGTCTGAAAATTGCACTCATAGGGAAGTTCAGGAAGACTGCTGTCACTAACAATATGTTCATTAACGGTCATCCCAGTGTCAATCACCACCAATATGATGAACCTCATACTAAGGTTTTATCAAAGTCTAAAAACAACATATGATTGCAGTTTCTACAGGATGTCATATAATAGATACACACGTCCAAAGCGCCAACAATCTTTCTGAACATTTATAAATAACATCAACCTAATGGAATATCACCAACATTTCAAGCTATACTTAAATGTAATAGAAGCTATACGGGGTGAAATGAACACCCCATAAGAAGTTTTGGTGCAATGCCACAAATCATCGCCTACATATATGCGAACATTGTCCAATAGTGAATAAATAAACTCCAATATAATGAAAAATATTGTTTCACATCCATACGACAACGCTGCCAGTTTGTAATCAACAGTTAGGACAGGCTTACAATATTAGAATAATTTTCAATGATACATTTATTTTGTGACATATGCTTTAACGCAATATCACTTTAATTCGGCATTTTCACCAAATTTGTGTTTCTTATGAAATTTAATAATTGCAATTATATATCATGTCTCTCAACTGCATTTATTGAAAATGTCAGCAGGATCTTACCAAAATTGGCACACATATGACACCATTTATACATGCACACTTATAAAATTTGTTAAGTGTAGTATAGAAACATAATTATACATATTTCATCATTAATCAATACATGAATATTACATTTACATTAGTGTCTGGTGTTTAAACTTACCTGTAGTGTTTATAAAATCCTTTTTCATTCCAATAATGACCGTCTAGTTATCAGTACAAAGCTTAGATCTACAAATTACAAAGATTTTCGTCTCATATTACTAAGTTTGTAAATCATCACGCGGAAATTATACAAACAAAATCGATTTTCTTAAATAATTAACGTAATGCGGTTTAAAAACTAGAAGATATTATAAAAGCTAGTTATCTGGGTATTTTAAAAATAGCTAGGTTAAAACTAGTGTCAATTTTCTTCTTTACTGTAAATTATTAATCATTCTCTAAGCATGAGGCCATGGGGCAGGATATTTCATACGATCAAAAATCCGTGTTGTATTCTTTACCTTAACCTTCAAAGGTATGAAACCATGGAAATACAATGCAATAACATAATATTATATGTTAATCTCGGATAAAACAGGATAAACATATATCAAATATCACACCTGTTGCTTGTTTAATGTAGATATATTCTAAAAATAGAAATAAAATAACAATATCGTTTAATTATAATGCTCGGTCAATAATGTATATTGAGTAGGAAAACTAGATCATCATACATTCAATTATAAATCGAATAAATTCTAGTCATCTTAATATTTTTGGCATGTGTTAACTAATACATAGAAAGTTTTACTTTTCCATGATTTGATAAGAATAAAGTAGAGTTATTCTAGTCACCCGAGCATAACTCTAGTCACCAAAGCGTCGACGTCGGTGTTGTTGCCAGCGTAACCACTTAGTGGCGGATTCAGGCCTGGGCTTCAGGGCTGCAGCCCCCCCCCCCCCAGCTTGCCCCCCCCCCCCAGCTCGGCTCAAAGATACGCTTACTAGCTGGGATGGAATATATTGTTGTCAGTTTCAAATTTTATTGGCTGTAGTGTACTCCATTATCAAAACATTTATTGTTGTCATCCAGTTGTTAATCCCCAGCCTGGGGGCCTGGCAGAGATCTTTATCTATCATACTTCAATGTTTATACTGCATAATTGATTGGTTTATTACTTTTCAAAGGTCTAACGAAATTAATAGTCACAGATAGTGCCCTATTAATATTAGTGGCAAATACACTGTAGATGTGTTACATTGTACACCATATTTTACTATCTTTGTTTTTCAATTTTCTTTGCCTATTATTAAGTAATTGAAAATTATTATTTATACATTAAAAAGGTGACAAGTTTTATAAAGATTGTACTAAATGAATCGTGTTTTAAATAATAACTAGTTTTTCTAAGATTTTTATTCAGATGAACTGATTGGTCATTTGCTTTTAATAACTTTTTTATTGCAGTTATATTTTTTTAAAATAAAATTTAAATTGTACTGACCTCTTTAGTGTCTAAAATGGATTCAGTGATGGAAAAAAATCTTATTGAATATATGTGTTTGAAATTATTTTTTTTACAATTGAAAGGCAGTACTTTAATATCTTTGGAAAATCGTCTATTATTCAGAGGAGTACATTGATCAAGTGTTTAAAAATTATTTTTATCAACAGTCGCGCAAACATTGGTTAGTGTGCTGTTAATTATTTTGTAAATGCTTAATACTAAACACCAGGGGAATTCTATTTGAAATACCCTGCAAACACCTGTAAAACCACCCAAAAGGTATCATAAACAGCACTAGAAAGTCAAGGAAATAACACCATTTTCAACCGCATATTTCAAAATTTTCTCAGTCTATGGGAGGGGACACCCCTCCCTGGCCCACCCCAATTATATATATTTTTCTTAATTTCATATCATCTAAATATTTGCAGAAATATTAGTATACACATATATAAGCGAAAGTACATTGCCACTCGTCAAATGAGCTATAAAACACATCAATTACAATTTTTTGTCACATGAATAAGATATTGGCCCAATCTTCAAACATGCACAATTTTCGCCTGTTGCATTATTTTTGTCAAAATCTTCCACCCATATGTCAGCCCCCCCCCCCCCCCCCCCCCCAGGAAACCATGTCTGACTTATGGTAAAGTTTGCGTACCATCTCAAATATTTTCAAAGTCCATTGACATGGCTTTGAAACTTTGCACACTTGTTCACCATCATGCCCACAACCTGTAGACAGGAGGAGGTAACTCTTTCAAGCATTTTGACAGAAGTATGTCCCTTTTTCAACTTAGATTTACGTTGAAGTTTAACCTTTGACCTTGTGACCCCAAAATCTACTACTCAATATGGACAATCATCTTATGAAGTTTGAACATCGATAGCCAAATGGAACTTAAGTTATACTCCGGAAACCAAATTGCTAACGGACGGACGCCAGGTGGTATAACATAATATGCCCGAAATCTTTCGGGCATATAAAAACAGTAAAAGTCACACAACAGAAGTATTCGTGGTTCTTTAGGAGTATTTCTAACAAAGCTTAGAACAAGCCTTTCTAATCGTATTATTGGCAGTCTCACTGACATCCCGGCAGAGCCCCGGTAGACGTCCGGGGTGATCCGGGAATGACCGGGAACAACCGTGGTACATCCGTAACTCTGCCGGCAACGTCCTGGATGATCCGGAGACATCCGGCATTCGACCCCGGATGGAATAATATATTTAATATCACCGGGGTGGTCCGGGATGATCCGGGAAATATAGCTTTGCCGGCTTCATCGGGAACGGCCGGGGTTACACCGGGGAAGCACCGTAGCTCTGTCGGCACAAACCGGGGATGATCCGGGGTATGATATAGCCGGTAGAGCTACGGTAGAGCCCCGATTAATGCCGACAGAGCCCCGTTGGATGCCGACAGAGCCCTGGAGGATGACGATGGAGCTACGGTTGATCCCGGTAGAGCCCCGGCAAAGCCCGGTTCATTTCAAAAGAATCACGACAATTTGCGATGATTGCACTTGTTTGTATTAAAACCCTTCCCATTTCCCTTCTATCCAGTCTTGCATAAGGATTTTTCAGAAAATCATCATAAATTACTTTTCTGGAACAATAGATATTATATTAAATAAAATTTATGTATTAATGTAATCATTTTCATCCACCGGGGTTCTACCGAGGCTCTGCCTGGATCGTCCTGGGCTCTGCCGGGGCTCTGCCTGGATCGACCAGGGCTCTGCCTGGGTCAACCGGGACTCTTCCGCCCTGCTATCCTAGTACTTGATGGTACATACCTTTATATCCATAAAAGCTCCAGTTTCAAACTTCAAAGAGGTACATTAGTGTTCATAAAGGGAGGTCAAACCAATGATGGTTGTTACTACAATAGGATATATAGTATCTGTTCTTGGCCCTTATTTAGCTGATAGAAAGGTGTTTTAGCTATTTGGGTGTTTTAAAATATTTTCTTTGTTGGTTTTTTTCTATATACATATAAGGAAATTCAACGACCCCTAGGGCTTTTATTTTAACACGCTTGGTAGACACTTACTAGAAGATATTTCTTGCTTAATATCTAAGCTCTAGCTATTCATGTTTTTTTTAAAGAAGATTTTTTAATTTTAACTATATCAAACAAAAAGAAAATCAATGACCCCCTTAGGCGGGGCAAATTTTGACCCCAGGGCTTTTATTTGAACAAACTTGGTAGACACCAATTATAAGATGTTTCATGCTTAACATCTAAGCTCTAGCTTTTTGGTTTTTAAAAAAAAAGAAATTTTTTTTAAAAAGTTTTTCCTATATACATATAACTTATATTATAAGGGAAATCAATTACCCCGGGTTAGACACTCACTAGAAGATGTTTCATGCCAAATATCTAAGCTCTAGCTCTTTAGCTTTTTTTAAAAGAAGACTTTTTAAGGGTTTTCTTTCGGTTGCCATAGCAACCAGAGTTCTGCATGGAATTAGAATCTTTGAAAACGTTTTAAAGGTGACCACCAAAGGAACATTCCCGTGAACATGGATAAAATTGGCTTAGCTGTTTATGAGGAGATGTTGTTGAAAGTAAAAATTTACGAACGGATGACGGATGGGCGACAGACATTTAACATTTTTTAAGTAAAAAAAATAAATTGATGGGGAGATAATTCTTACAATATTAGTGCTAGAGTTATGAATTTTGTCACAAAAGATGTGATTAATGATAAAGAACATATATTTGAAGTATGAAGTTGATCCCTTAAAAAAGAAGAAGTAACAGTGAAAAATAATATTTTTAAGGAAAATTCTGAAAATATTTGTCCTAGAGTTATGAACTTTGTCACAATTAAGATTTGGTTGATAGTAAGAAAGATATATTTGAAGTATGAAGTTGATCCCTTATGAAATAAAGAAGTAACAGTAAAAGATAATATTTTTAAGGAAAAATATAAGTTCAATGGGAGATAAATCTTAAAACATTCATGCTAAAGTTATGAACCTTATCACATATGATGTGGTTGATGATAAAGAACAAATATTTGAAGTTTGAAGTTGATACCTTAAGAAATGAAAAAGTTATAGTGAAAAAAATTTTACTGCACCAAAACTTGAACGTGGACGAGTAACACAGCTCTCCATATAGTTTGTATATTCAAGCTAAAAATGAAAGATCCTATGCATGATAAAAGTGAGATATTGTTAAATAAAAATTGGACATGTTTTTACACACTGTGGTGCATGGAGGTGAACGTCAGGCGATCACAATTGGTAGCTCGAGCCTTGTATTCCGAACTTTGGTAACAATGGGCAATAACTGTTATGATAAGTATCTCGATCAGCTTCCGCTTTCGCTTTTAAACAAAGTCTTGTGATAATTGAAAACTAAGTATTGCAGAATAAACTGAAGAATAAATTTTATTAATTTGATAAACGCAAATACATATGTACATGTATAATATTCTCTTAAAACAGTCAATCACAAATATATTTTATGAGAAAATTGATATAAGAACATCTTTTGTCAACAATACAGCACTTTTATTGTGCTAACAAAACAATCACTTTCTCCCAGACTTGGTTACATTCAACAAAGTCACAAGTTCAAGCATATAATACAGATTCTCTTAAATATCCCGTTCAGTACCGTCAGTAAGCCATGTAGAACTGTTACTATATTAATCATAAAATTAACATCTTACAATTACTAACAATATTACTTATCAAAAATGTTAATTCTTTGTTATGACTTGTACAAAATATTACATCAAAATAATTAACTACCTTAAAGACCTGTTGTTTCTTGAATAAAAACTTGTACTTAGCA